ATGTAAGATTATTATCTAACAGAAAAAGTGGCAATTACTCCAGTCTCCACTCATAGGCCACTCATAAGTGGATGACTAATACTCGGTACAATAATCTAACTGAGGTCTAACTAATAATTTATTTAGGTTTAGCATTACGTCTTTGATTTTATATTCTGAACAACAACAACAAAATTACATTTGCGCAGAGCCTTTCATGTTGGGAGGACATCCTAGGGCACTGAAACCATTTATAAAACCTAATGGAGGCATCAGTAGAGACCTAGGAACAACAATTCAGGACCATTTCATTTAAGCAATGATATCAGTGCAGGCAGGCGTGTTACTGACAAAACAAAATGTGAAGTAAGGAGGCAGCAACAAACTTGTTCGCAGAGAATCATGTAAATTATACCACTGTCAATCTCTGGAATTTCCATGTGCAAGTGGGATGCATGGAATTCTCAGCTTGGTGTGGATACTTTTAAGCATGGTGATGGGTTTTCTCTTGTGTCAGACACCCGGCTGACCAAAAAAAACCGGAACTATTCCCTCGCTCTACAATTCCCCTTTTTTTTTCAAATATTTGTGGCAGGAAATCAAATCATGTTTCTTTCATTTTGTGAGGCAAACATGACTGAACAGCAACTTGACAGCTCTAGCAGAGTGTTAGAATTGTACCTTGAGGGCCTGATGTTGAGCTCCACCCTTGTCAACACATGAAGTTGCCCATCTTGCTGGGTGAGTTTTCTGATTCTCAGGGTAAATCAAGCTTATTTCTAAGAGAAATGCTCCTCCTTCAGTTGGTGAAGGGAAGAAAAAATAATTACTAATGCTGTTCTTTAACCCCGGCTCTTTGTGCATGAGTGGCAGCCATGAAACATGCAATTGTATGGAGATCAGGTGAAAGCCCAGGATTGCACTTGATTGCGATGCCCTCTATGGTTGAATAAACTGCCCACAGTCATTGTCAAGCTTCACATAAGAGTAACAGCCATCTGGGTAAAGTATGAGAGGATAGCAATTACCTATGGTACTATTGTATGAGGCAAAAGGAGCTCAAATGCATTCAGGAGAGGAGGAGGGGAGACAATTAGCAAGGAAACAAAGGTAATCTTGCCTTGTGTTGTTCCCCAGCCCCTTGTGGAATTTGTACTTCAAGGCTACAATGGATGCATCATAACCTATGGTACACCCGGCAGTGGAAAAACGTATACTTTACAAGGTGGAAACCTTTCAGGAAAACCACGAGGGATCATTTCCAGAGCAGCAGAAGAGATTTTCAACAGTATCCCGTTCACCTGTTTGTAATTCAGTGCAACGTTTGCTCCTCGTACACACATCCTAACATCACTCACGGGATTGGTTTAACTCACTCAGTTCGTATGAATTAGATTCTATTTCACTTTGAAGGGTGCTGGAAAAAATTAATAATTATTTTGTTGTATTAATACAGAAAGATCAAATGACGCAAAATCTATTTATTCTCAGTGGTTACAACAAAAACTTGCATTTATATGGCGCCCTTCACACTGGGTAGCATCTCGGAGCTCCGGTTATTGTGTCTTAACCAGTTAGCTCCATTTAAATGAATGAATGGGATATTTTCCCCAATTTGACTCAGCTCAGCCACTCAAGAGGGATTAATCCCGCGTTCCCTATTCTTTATAGTGAAATTAAATGTATGTAATATTTGTTTGCAAGGAAGGTATTTTTCTGAGGGCTTTTTTTGTAGACATTGAGAAGGCAAGCTGCAGGATCACAGCATCATACATACAGATTTCTAACGAGAAAATCTATGATTTACTGGTAAGTGCATTGTCCAGCAATGGAAATATTTTGTTTGTTGTTTCAAGCCAAATGTCCTAAATGGAGCCTGAATGCTACACAAAATTACGATCAGTGAATAGAATTATAGATACTGTGCTATCAGATTGATTGTTGGTTTCCCATTACTTTAATGATAATAACCTGTTGGGGAGAATTTCAATCCAACTTGATTTGTGGTAGTTTGTGACTGTGACAAATATAGGGATTTGTTTGAAGGTGTGCCTCAACTTCCGGCATCATTGAATGTGCCAGAGGCAGACCCAGACACTCCTCTCAATGGTGACATTTTTTGAGAAGCAGGGGCTGGAAGGGTTGGATCTTCACAACACAGATCACTCATCCTTCTCCACCACATGTAAGGTGAACATTGGCTTTTTGGTCAGCTTTTTGGTCTAATACATGGGAAAACCCATCATCGTGTTCAAGAATATCCAAACCAGAACAAGAGTTGCACGTAGGTCCTTTCTGCCTGTTCAGGTAGACGTGAAAGACCCTGTGGCACTAATCGAAAAGAGAAGGGAGTTTCCTCCTAATGTCCGAGCCAACAATCCCCCAAATATAATTGGTTACTCGCTCTTTGGCTGTTTGTGGGATCATCGGAGGAGGAAACTGATATTGAGGGCCACATAATATTAATAATACTTGCATTTGATATAGGAGCTTATCACATCAATGAGATGTCTCAAAGCGCTTCACAGAATATATGATTAAATGGATTGACTGTGTATTTTGTGAGCCGTTCTCCCCAACCATTGTCCAGCAATGGAAATATCTTTTTTTTGTTGCAAGCCAAATGTCATACATGGAATTTGAATTATACATAGAGTTGGCAGGAGGTATGTGTTTGTATTGTGTGTTCCAACACCTTCTCCCCTCCCCAAGAGCAAGTAATGTTTCGCTGTAGTTCTATAGATGGTAAAGAGCCTGAAAGGAAGAAATTGGAAACATATAACTAAACTAGTGTTTCAATATTTTAGGCTATTCAACACTCTGACAAAATTCGGATACACGAGAGTGATGACAATGTTTCTGTTGAAGGACTCGTGGAAGTTGTGGTCACGTCCGTAGAAAGTCTTCTCCAGGTGTTCAGGAAGGGGACCTTAAACAGAAATGCAGGTGATTTAGACACAGGTTGTGAACAGCATGAGTATATACAGAGGTGATAAGTGGTATCTAGAGCGCAGCTTAACATTGTGCAAAAACCTGTCAACGATGACACTATTAATGATAAAAAGTTCCAGAGTGAAGTGGACACTGCTTTCCCCCCTGCGCCGAGTCGCTGATTATCAGGGCTGCATTCCTCTTTTATCAGAATAACAAATTCTTACCATAATCGGCATTGTGTCATATGTTCCAACGTTGGGCATTTGTATTTTACATTGCATGAATGATTATATTTAACTTGATGCATATCTTCCTTCTGCAGGAATGTCCAAAGGAGATTTTAGCAACAGGAATCACACACTCTTTTACATTACAGTTGTTCACACAAATATCATAGCGGAAAAGTGTAAGAATTTCTATTAATCTGTTTTTATATCCACGTTGAATGTAATACCATAGTCCACATTGAATGTAATACCATAGTCACCAAATCAAATTATCCATTTAGCTTTTTGTGGACTATCATGTGGTTCTACGCCATAGTAAATTCCAAGATGATTTTAACAGATTAAAAAGACAGGTGATGGTGTCGTATTCTGCTTACTTTATATTGGTTAGTGTTGGCACAATGTTGACTGAGTAGCCTGTGGGACCACGGTTTAAGCTGATCCCAAATGGAGGAGTAAACAACTTCTAATTAGCTGCTATGGGTCCTTTAGTATATGTTTGAAGAGTCTGATCCAGAGCTCAGTGGATTGAATGCAGTAGTAAAGTGCTTTCAGGTCCTGCAGCAATTGGCACAAATTTAGTAGGGCTGACTGGAGAGGCTCCAAAGATAGATGCTGAAGGAAATGCAAGTCACACTGGTTCACTGGGGACTTGGTCTTCTGAAAGCTGGTGGTTCGGGAGGAGGGAGACAATCCACCTGAGTCTAAACTTACACTATTAACTAGTGGTTAGAGTACTCGCACTGTGGTCACTCAATCCACGACTCTTTGTGGGGCACAACTGTGTGCAATTGGCTGCCTTGTTTCGAACACAAAATGTACAGTCAATTCATTCTACAGTATATTTTGTGAAGTGTCTTGAGATGTCTTGAAGATGTGATAAGGCGCTATATCAAATGCAAGGATTATTATTACTATCTTCTTATTTCAAAAATTTCAGATTTTAGCAAATTCTTCAATTCAGTCTTAGTTTTGAAGTCAGTTTTCCCGTGGGGTTCTTATAAAATCTCAGAATTCAGATTAAATTTAAGAATTTACCAAACTCTGTGGCTTTGAATTACTAAGAAAATAGTAAAAGTCTAGACCCAAGTGAAATTTCACCTCTCGCCCAATTTCCCCCCTTCCCTACCAGAGTTTAAAAGTATTATTGTAAACCTCGTGACACTCGATCACCCTTTCCTTGGGATAACTATTACAAAAAGGAGTAAGCTGCATGGGTATGGGGAAAAGCCAGCACAGACACGATGGGCTGAATGGCTTTCTTCTGGGCTGTAATGACTAGCTGGTATTCCCAGAACAGGGAATTGAATGCTGGGATCTGAGTGGAGGCAGGTTCAAAGGTGCCAGTTGGCTAAATCATTATAGCTAAGAGCTTTCGGGTGAATGGCGGTGGGAGTTGCTCCTCTGCGCTCGTGGTCAACAGGGACATTTCCAGGTTTCACATACAACATTTCTGCACCCCACGATGTCTGGTTGACAAACAGTAGAGGCAGCAGAGGTCACAGGTTGCCTGGTTTCTCAGTCAAAACAAAGTGGGATGTGATATGGGGCAGGGAGTGTTATCAACAAAGGGGGCGGAGGGAGGAAGAAAAAGACTGCAATATTTAACCAATATGTTTGCTTTTTGTCATTTAGCCCAAGAAAAATATATCACAGCAGGGAAGCTAACACTGGTAAGATTGGCCAGCAAAATGTGCTCAAACTGTTTGTCCTCCACTTAAAAGTCTCAAAATCATTCACCCGTACATTTTTCTTTTCCAGGTTGATTTGTCAGGTTCTGGTCGAGTAAGTAGAATTTTAAATTCAGAACTTGACATTGAGAAATTGACCAAAAAAAACTACTGTATATGTATGTAAGAGATGTGCAAAGGCAAACCAGAACTTTGGTCCCTGTTCACAGGCGAACATCAGGGGAGGGAATACAGAGTCAGAGCATGGAAAGAAATGTTTTATGAATGTCTCTGAAACTAATCAACATGAAGCAAAGAATGTAAAACGCTCTCTGACACTGTTTGGAAATGTAAGTGTTATTGTTAGGAATGTAAAGGGAGATGAATTTTTTTTAAATTGGAAAATTATACCAAAGGGAAGGAGTTTCTCCGGTGTTCTGGCTAACAATAATTATTATTAATAATGATAATAATCCTTGCATTTGATATCACGCCTTATCACATCGCCAAGAGATCTCAAAGCGCTTCACAGAATATACTGTAAATCCTCCAGATAAAATTGGTCGCTCACTTCATGGCATTTTGTGGGACATTGCTGTGTGCAAAATTGGCTGCTGAATTTACCTACACATTCACAGTCACTACACTTTGCAGTAAAATCCTGTGAAGTGTGTTTTGAGACATCTTGAAGATGGATTGTCACCAGATTCTATATAAATTCCAAGTCCTGATGTGGGGCTGGAACCCACAACCTTCTGACTCAGAATCGAGAGTGCTACTAACTGAGCCAGGCTGACATGCGAAGATTATATCAGACATAAAATATGCCTTAAAATAAAAGAATATGTGCTCATCTGTTACATTGCTTAAAGTGCTTTACATGTTCTCATTTGTTCTCAGGTTGTTTTTGCACTGAGCACGCCAGGATGCCAGCACATCCCTTACAGAGAATCTAAGCTTACACGCATTCTGCGAGATTGGTAAGGATCAAAATGGTTGGCTATTGGATTGTATTAGGCCCAAAGTTCTGCCTGATCTTAACCAGTAAGACCACTTTCTCTTAAAATTTAAGATCACTCAGAATTGTGGAAAATACTTTCAATTCATTCTTAATGGGAAGCCTTTTTTGAAATGGTTTCCAAATTAAGACTGGATTGAAGAATTCATTTTGCGGACAAACACTAGGTGGAATTTTGGGCACAGAGATGTAAGATGGAAGGCTTGTGCATATTTAAAATATCGCTTACGATATCCTGGAATCTTCAGCAAAATGGGCCAGGTATGAAATCTATAATAATACTCATTAATACTAACAATAATAGTAATAATAACCCTTGAATTTGTAATAATTATTACATTTGAAATAGTGCCTTCAATAATAATACTTGCATTCGATATAATGCTTTATCATGTCTTCGAGACGTCTCAAAGCGCTTCACAAGAATACACTGTGAAGTGTAGTGATTGTGTATTTTGCAGACGAAATGTCTACGTGATTTGATAATCCGTACAAAAAGGATGTGTTGTTAACTTGATTGTTTTACGAAATGAGTATCACTTCCACATCGTAGCTCTGTTAAGCCGTCTCATTCATTTTCCAGCCTGGGAGGAAACTGCCTGATGTCACTGGTGGTGACTGTCTCCTCAAGCTCTGCCTCTGTACACGAAACCCTCAGCACTTTGCAGTTTGCCGCGCGGGCAAGATCTATCACAAACCATGCAGGGAAAAACATCCAGTTACAGAGCAGTAAAGATCAGGTAAATACATGAGGTTCACGTAGAGTGTAGTTGTAGGAGTAAAGTGTTGGCCTCCCAACTGACACAACACAAATCAAGCATTAATGGATTTGACAGGCCTTGGGTTTGTTTGACTCATTCTTGGCAGTGCTCTTTACCTCGGGGTGGAGGTTGTGGGGAGAAATGGGTGATGAGACATTTGGCATGGGAAGGGCTAAAGTACCTGAATTTTCAATCAATAGTGAATAGGGCAGACATTACAACTGCCTGATCCATTTAGGATGAACCTATTCTCCAGTGTATAATTGTCCTTGGCATTCGAGTACTCCAAATTCTCTTCGTAATGAAAACCTCTTCTGCATGCCAGCAAAGAATAACCTTCAATGAATGCAATAATTGTAACTTCTTGTGGATAAATATTAACACAGCAACATATTTTATCACGGTATCTGCAGCTGCCTTTGAGAAAGTATGTGGATTTGTACGTTTTTGTTTGCCCGTTCACCAAATATGGGCTCACTGCACAATGTTAGTGTGGAGAGTGCATTCTAATCATGTTACTTCGCTAATGAGGTGTTTGCATTTCATTAGCGAAGTGGGAGGAAGCTTACAAAGAGTGTAAGACATAAGTCGGGATTGTGCAGTGTTTTGTGAAAGGTGAGAAAGATGCACATAATGCAGGGCAGGAAAGACTATTACAGTCCAATCGCCTTCACCATGAAAATCTGTTCAACCTCCTTTTCAAAAGGCCTTACACTATCTACCCCCACTGCTTCCCTCGGCAAATTGTCGGTCATGTCAATAACCATCTGAGTCAAGTGATTCAATCTAAATGATCTCGCCTTCCATTCAAGATCAGGAATTGTCTTATTTCACACCACTCGGTCACTTGCTGGACTGATGTTGATCTGCTTCAGTGAACGATGCCGTCGGCCTTCGGAGAAGGAAGCTGTGAGGGAATGGACAGGAATGAAAAAGTAGATCAGAGGGATGATGGAGTTAAAAACCATATATTTAAACCATGCAGATACCAGAGCAAGTTGTAATTTCAAACAACAACAAATCACATTTGTATAACCCTTTCACATCAGGAGGATGTTCCAAGGATTTGTACCCGAGCTGGGGGTTGGGATCAGGAGGGGTCGATGGCAGGAAGGGTGGGAGTAGGAGGTGATCGAAGGGGAGGGTCTTGAGATGGGCCTCGAAGGAAGCAAGGGAGGGAGCAAGGTAAAGGGATTGTGGGATGGAGTTCCAAGAAAGGCTGGAGGCCCGACTATGGTGGTGGGGTGGGCTGGCCAAGGCACAGGAAGCAGACAGGTCAGTATAGGGTTAGCAGGTCACAGAGGTAGGGAGGCGCAAAGCATAAAGACCATCGAGTGAAGTGGCAGATCATCAATGCAAACAAAAGTGATATTGTACCCCGAGTGTTTCAGGCAAGTAATGGTGTGATATATTTGTTGAAAAATTCAACGCAGGCTTCTCCACTACAGACCTGCCTTCCACCCATCCATGCTGGCCGCAGTGCTTCCTCCAGACCCACAGAAAAGAGCCTCAGAGACTCGGTGCTTCGTTTGGATGAAGCGAAGGAACATCCGAGTCAGAGGGTGGTTTTGCCTCACCTGGAGAAGGCATCGGAGAAAGCCCTGAAAACCGTTCGAGCCGTTACAAACTCGGACAAGAGCAAAGGAGCGGACGACCGATTCCGAAACCTTCGGTCGCGCCCCAACCCTCTTGTTGGATCAGTGGATGTTTTGAGAGAAAACAAAATGGAAAAGCAGCAACACAAACTGGATAAAATTAGCGGGTTTGAGCCATCGTCAGCAAAGGCATTCACAGAGACAATCCCGTTTGAGATCCAGAAGAACGCTGAATGCGCAAACTGCAAGAAGGAGAAGAAGATCAGGGACGAGTACGATAAGTTCATTCTGCAGTCGAAGAGGGACAAAGAGTCTCTCCAGCAGAGAATTGTGGAACTCGAGGCTGAGCTGACCAAACCTCAGCAGGAAGTTGAAGAACTGGCACCAGCTGCACAGAAAGAAGTGAGGGTAAAATGCCTGTTCACAAATTTTGCTTTTATTTAAGTGTTTAACAAAATTATTTACAACAAACATGTTACTTAAAAAACAAAATGTTTCAGTATTTTCGTAAGAATGATCCAAAAGCAGAATGACTAATAATAATCCTTGCATTTGATCTAGCACCTTATCAAGTCATTGAGACGTAATAATAATGTAATAATCCTTGCATTTTGTTGCATTTTAGCGCTTTTCATGTCTTCTAATCTCTCAAAGCGATTCACAGAATGTACTATAAAGTGAATTGACTGTATATTTGTGGGTGAAACGCAGTAGCCAATTGCACACAGCAGTGTCCCACAAACAGTCGTGGACTGAGTGAACAAATTATTATTTTATTTTTTCTTGAGGGATTATTATCAGGCGTGTGGAGTAAAGAAATTTGCCCAAGGTTTTGTCCTGCCGGGAATCGAACCCAGGTCTCTCCCTTGCAAGGCGCGTGTTCTCACCACTGAGCTACAAGACTCCACTGAGTTACAGGACATCTCAAAGTGCTTCACAGGATATATTGTAAAGTGGATTGACTGTGTTTTTGTGGGCAAAATACAGCAGCCAATTGCGCACGGCAGTGTCCCACAAACAGTCCTGGATTGAGTGACTACTTTTTTTTGTGTGTGTGTAGTCACAGGCACTAGATCATCCCAAGCAAAAAGTTGAAGTGAATGAAAATGTTGCCATTTCATTTGCGTTAGATGGTCACTATAGTTCTGACTAGCATTGATTTGTTTTTGCCAGGAAATAGTAGACAAACTAAGCTGTTTGATGAGTAAGTCGGAACAGAACAAACTGGAGGAAGAAAACCGAGGGAAACAGAAACAAATTGTGAGTATACGTAGTTTTTTAAAAAAACCACTAGTGCCACAAGGACATGTTGATGCCAAGTGCTATTTATGCTAGAGATATTTCATGTCTACAGTGGCTCTACAAAGTACTGTTACCCCATGTTTTTTTTGCACTGACCAACAACTGAAACACATGGAAGAATGATGATAATTGTATTTAGAAGTACTTAACTGTATTCAGTACAAGAGTTTAACTGTATTTAGACGTCCAGAGGATCAGTGTGTGTTTGTGAGAGCCATCATTTTCATGGCAGATAATGATCTGCTGCCATGTTCAGTGTAACATCTTCTGTAACATGGATGGAGTGAGGAGGCGAAATGGATCTCTTGACAGCTGGTTTCAGCTCCTCCGTAGTCTCATATCACTGTTTTCCAATAGGGGGTAACAGGACTTTGTGGACACCTTATAGTATAATGTCTCATTAATATTTCTCATTCAGGAGCACCTCGAGAATGAAGTAGAACACTTGCAGAAAAGTCTCAAATACTACCAGAAGCTGGCAGCAGATGAGAAGGAGATTCATCAGACTTATATCATACAGCTTCAGCAAGACGAGCTCTTACATACAGCAATTCTTCAGGAAAGAGTCTGTTTTATACAACCTGTTAAAGAATATTTTAGGAATGCTTATTGCAAAATACTGTGACCATTAACTTATAAAGGGTGGAGAGAGTATTTTTCACAGGTCTTGAGCTACAAACCTTGCACGTTGGAGTCCTGTAGCTCAGTGGTTAGAGCACTCGCTTTGCAAGTGAGAGACCTGAGTTCAATTCCAGGCAGAGGGCGAAACCTTGGGCAAGTTTCTTTACTCCACACACCTAATAATAATCCCTCCAAAACCAAAAAAAACAATAATAAATTGGTCATTTTCAATCTACGTCTGTTTGTGGGACATTGTTGTGCGCAATTGGCTGCCGCGTTCGCCCACAAATATATAGTGAATTCACTTTACAGTGTGTTCTGTGAAGCGCTTTGGGACGTCCTCCCGACGTGAAAAGCGCTATATCAAATGCAAGGATTATTATTATTATTATATTGTCCTGCTGCCTTTCGCGTTAGTGGCATAATAAAAAATAAAGCAACAACAATGCTTGCAGAGGCACCAGTTACCTTGTCATGGTTGTAGTGACAAAGCTTGCTAACTGCTATTATCGGGGTGGCCCAACCCAGTCTCTAATTTGAAGGAAGTTTGATAATAATTAGAATCCTTGCATTTGATATAGCGCTCATCATTGTCTTTGAGACATGATCAGCTTCACAGAATATACCGTATACAGTGGACGAAACGTGGCAGTCAATTACGCACAGCAGTGTCCCACAAACAGTCGTGGAATGAGTGGGATTTTTTAAGGGATTATTATCCACAGAAAAGTGTTCCACTAATCGACTAACAAGCGATTTCTTACTTACTGCTAGGTAAACAGATTCTTGTGGAGTAAGAAAACTTACCCAAAGTTTAGTCCTGCCGGGAATCAAACCCAGGTACTCTCGCTTGCGAGGCGAGAGCTCTAACCACTAAGATACAGGAATTGTGAAGATGAGACAGGAGCTCTGTAGTGGAAATGTGGGGCTAAACTGCGAACTGCTTCTTATGCACAGAAAAAATGACAAGTAAATAAAAAGCCCTTTCTAACTGCAGAATGACCTGCTGGTAGAAGTGGAGCAGTTAAAAATTCAGCTGGATAAGAACCGCGACAATGAACGAATTCACGCGCAGAGGAGGAACGCTGAAAAATACAGATTAATTCTGGAAATAGAAAAACTGAAATCTCAACTGGAGGAAGTTAAAGAACGAGAAAATCGAAAAATTGATGACCTGAAAAATGAAAAGGTACAAAGCAGACAATTTCCAAATAAGTTGCTAGCAGGTGTTGCAGCACCTCAGTGCTCGCTGTTTTTACTCTCTGTACACTCAGCTATGTTCCTTCACCATTTCTGTTCACTTTCTGTTAGGAAAGCATTCACCTGGAGCTGGAAGTTACTAAAAATGAACTGGAAAAGTTAAGAAAAACTCAAAATGAGAAAGAGATCAAGCAAAAGAGGGAGAAGGTGATCCTTAACTCGCCAGAAACATTATACCATGCTTTCTCTTGTCGTGCAGAATTTTTTTTATTGCTGTAAATTTTCGTGTTCTACACACATAGCTATTTCATCTGTGTAAAAGAGCTTTCATTTTTATTGTGCCTGGTCAAATTGAAATTCGTACATTAATTGTACATTATTTAATTTAGAGTTAAACAGTTCCTTTGAACTGCGCTGAAGGAAAATGAATGTTTAGGGCTCAGCCTGGTAAGTATATTTTAATTGGAATTGGCAGCAATTTCCTGTGGACAGGAATTATGTTGCTGCCTGATGAAATTTGATCAGGCCATCATTACAGCCGTTATCATCTATCAGCAGTAAACAAGCAGTATTCCGGGAGATTCATACTTAAAATTGTATATTATTATGGCAGCCGTCTTGAAAATACAAATTCAAGAGCTAACTTAATTTATAACCTTCCTCTTCCTGTCCCCTCTCCATCCCAATCATATCAGGTAATTACACCACCATTATCATATTGAGCTATTGGGTATAGACTCGATATTTATATTGAAAAAAATAAGTATATCTTCTACAAAATATAACACAAAACACTACTTTATAGTTTAGGCTACAGCCTGGTGTTACAGCTTCAAGTGAAGATTCTGTGTTTTAATGTCCAATTCTAATCTGGTATCTGTTACAGGATGGAATTGCAAAATTGTTTGGATAAGGTATGTACAAATATGTCAAAGAATAAAGATGACACTGATGTGCTTTAATGCAGCACACCCTAAATCAATGGACAGCTGTGAGATTCTACTAAGGAAATTCACTGTCAATTCAGAATTTTGCACTGGTGGGTTGGACAGTGATTTGATTGTCACTGGTGAGTTGAAGTTGTATATTAATTTCTAATGGTGGTATGGCTGTGCACCCATTCAGAAAGAAATAGGTTGTTTGTAATTGTTCCTTGAGATCACATTGTTCTGTTTTTGACAGGTGAAGGCAGAAAACTGTTCACTTCAAAGTACAATTGGAGCTTTCCATAAAGAGAGGAGATCTGATCCTCAACCTAGTTTTGCCATGTCCACAGTGACAACTAACACAGAAGTGCTAATGATTGCTCACCAGATCTCACAGAAGGGTATGATGGCTCTAAATGCAGGTTGGTGTGCTTTAATGAATTTATAAAATAATGCTGTCTCTTTTTATTGGTACAGTAAGTGTTCTGATTTAATTATTTTATGTAAAGAGTGGTGAGTATTTGGAACAGACTTTGGAGGAAGCCGATGGAAGCAGATTTTGTTAAGCAAAGCCAAGATTGTTTTACTGAAGAATTGAACTGAGGTATATGAACAGTAGATTAGTGTAGGATGTTTTTAAAAAAATACTTTGGACTAGAGGGACTACTGTGGTCTTTCCCAGTTGTGTACAATCCTCATGTTCTTGAGGATGCAGTATGTTACTGTAGAGAAGAAACTGGCATGTTCTGAACATGAAAACATGTTAGTGTCCTTTATATTTGAACAGGTTTTGCAGATAAGAAGTCCAACAACAATATCATCTTGATTAAGGAACAAATACTTTGAACTGAATTGAACCTTTTTCAGATTGATTTGTGACCCTTCATTCAGTTCTGTTTTACCACCCTGCCCAAACTTCTAATAGAATGAACTTCACTTGGGCAAAACAAAAAGCTCTCAACAGAAGTTTGATCCAGAGCACATGGGAAGAATTGTCCAGTGGGTGGATGGTACAGGGTTTACCCTTGGTAGGAATCTGTAGCAATCTCGGAATGCAGTCTGGGAAACATATTTGAAAGTCACAAGATTGGTTTCGATCAAGCAGGCCCTTGAGTCCATCTGATTGTCGCAACAACATTAGTATGTTTCAGTATTTTTCCTCTGTTTATCTAGAGGCAAGTGGGAGCCCAATTGTTAGTCGATTTGCTGATCGCTTTCTGGTGGCAATAATCCCTTCATAAAAATAATAATCATTTGGTCACTCATTCCACAGCTGTTCATGTTCTATGAAGCGCTTTGACACATCTTGAAAACACGATAAGGCACTATATCAAATGCAAGGATTATTATTATTATCTCATCCCTACATCCCAACCTACCATCCTCCCATCACAGCATCAAGCTGTTTTTTAAATGAGTCCAGTGTCCTGACTTCAAACACCTATCCTGGCAATGTGTTCCAGTAATTAATTACTCTCAACTAAAGCAAAACTTCTTGGTACCTGTCCTAAATGTGAATTTGTCGTCAATGGTAGTAATTTTGCATTTATAGTGATGAATATAGCCCACAGGTGAGGGAGGTAAATCGTACAGTCCAGCACTGCATAATTAGCAAAGAAAAATCAGCACTTATTTTAAAGGTGTAATTAATAATTCTTTGATTTAGCACCTGATTATGTGGTCGTGGCATCTCAAAGCATTTCACGGGATTGACTGTATATTTTGTGGGCAAAACATGGTGGCCATTTGTGCACAGCAGTGTCCCACAAGCAGCCATGGAGTGAGTGACTGATTATATTTTGGGGATTTGTTGGCCAGGAAACCATTAGAAAATCCCTTCTCTTTCGAATAATGCCATGGGATCTTTAATGTCCACCTGAGCTGGCAGACAAGGCATTGGTTTAATGTTTCAGCTAATTCAGTTGAGGGGGAGGGGGTGGGGGATAGGAAAGAAGAGTCCTTAGGTTTCACAAATCTGGATTGAAGTGCGGATAATTCTTTTTCAGTTCTGATAAAACATTGTACAATGGAATAAAAGAAATGGAAAGAATATTTCATTATTATTTTTTCTGAAACCATTGAAAATGGTGGCACTCTTTATTGATTGAAAAGTCACTGTCTTCACAGTGTAGCAGTTTAAAAAACACTCTAATCTTTTCAATTTTCCAGATTGCAGACATTGTTTCTTTGGAGGTTGTGCTACTACAAACCTTTCCTTAAGTACTTCTGCTGGCAAACATTCAGAAACAGCAGGCTCGACTGTGGATTCTGCCAAAGAACATAATGAGATCACTGAAATTAAAGAGATGTACAAGCAATTGTAAGACATTTTATTCATCTTCAAAATGCAAGTCTTTCACAGCAGTAGGTTAAGTGATGAATCACTAAGATGAAGTTATTCAATTGGAATTAAGTGAGAAACAAAATTATTATTATAGCTGTCCACTAACATCAGTGATTAAATATTGATGTGATTGAACAAAATAAACTGGGAAGCTTCCCAGTTTGAATACAATTATATACCAAGTTACCAAGCAAGGCTGGGAAGAGAATAATTGGCCCATTGGTTCCTGTTCTGAGGGGACTCAAAAGCTGGAATGAGTTTTCAGGATACATGGTAAGGGCCCGAAACAACTTGATCCTGTGATGAAAAAATGGAAGAAGGGTATTCTGAAAGAATGAGATCAAAACCACCCAAAGGCACCTTTTTCATCTGATCTGTACATTTTGTTTTGTGATTGACAGGTATTAGGATTGAAGGTATTAGATGATAAAATAGAAGTGTTAGCAGAATTTTTCTGGAAGTTAGATGGATTGGCGAAATGAACCAATGGTCTATTCTTGCCAGAAGTTGTTACTATATTTTGTGTGAGCCAAATAATAATCAGCTAAATTAGAGATGCTTGGAGGAACTAGGGGATTGGGGAAGGAGAATAAAGATCAGTTTGAGAAAATACCAATTTTACCCAGTCTTCCTTTCCCCCACAAATGTGGGACACTCTCTCTTTTAGTAATTAATTGTAGATTCACTTTCTCAAACACAATACTGCAGCACATATGAATTCCAACATATAATCTATTTTTTACTCCGTTCTCTGAAATCCAACAATAACTTGCACCTTTCATGCAGCATAGTGTTTTAGAGTGCTTCAGTTGGTATTATTGAACCTAGGACTGATCTCTGCTGGTTTAACTGTTGTCTTAGTTTCTGGGCTGGGGAATGGGAATGGGTAAAAGAACAAGGCTGATGAGAGATCCTATCTTGAAAGCATGCCTATGTGAAGATTGGCTAAGGACTGAATTAGTTATGTATAATTCTACCCCACACGTCCACATCATGACAGACAGCCTCCTAAAACCCAATACTGTATATAACTCACAAGTGAATGGCCAAGTTAGTGAGGACAGTCACCACTCATGGAACTTCCCACCCACCCACTCTTTGCTCCTAAGGAAGACTGTGGGAGTTCAAAATTGGGGGTGGGGAAAGGGAAAAGAGAAATACTACACTTTAAAACAAATCTAACAACAGGTAATTGCAAGCCAAATTAATTCACAACATTAATTCAAAAAATAACAACCACTCCTATTTTATAGCTTCAACACTGTAGTTCGTATATTGTGATTTTTACTTTTTTCTCTAGAAAACGAGAGCGAAATCTGCTTCTTGACGTCATGGTGATTATGTACACACGCAGATGGTTTGTTGCTGAAGCCATGCCACATATCAAAAGAACACTGACAAAATGTGGTATCATCTCCGAGGATGCTGATTAAGAATTAGCCAAACAGCAGGCTCTGCATTTTTAACAATGTTTTGTGAGATTTTGGTCAAGTGAGCATATTGCAGAGAAATATACATTAAAATAGCAGGCCTTCTTAAAAGCTTTTAGCTGTAACTGCCATTATTTTGCTCTGGTCAATATACAAACCTTTGAATTCTCATGCAGTCGGCCAGTTAAATATCTGTGCAGCAACCAGTGTGGAAATCCAATAGATCAGTTTTGCATGATTTAATGAAGTGGGATAAGGGTGGAAACAGTAAATTAAGCATTGGTTATGGAATTGCTAAAAAATGCTTCAACCGTCATGGTAGGCAAAGCAATGGCGTGGCTGATAACTACTTTTCATCATTTCAAAAGGTCAGAGTAATCTTTTATAAATAGTTGATATTAGCAACTGAAGTTTCAAAATATTTATTTCATTAATAAAGCAAAGCATTTGCCAAAAATACAGTCATGGACATGAAATTGAATTCATTGTTAAAAAGACTATAAAATTAAAGGAACAGCATAAACATTATTCAGGTATTTTCCTGAACATATGTTTAATGCACAGCGATATAACTTGGTTTCACATCTATTTGCTTGTTCATTTTCTGCATTAAGAATATTTTATTTTAATTGAGCTGAAGTGTTTGTTAAACTAATTGTTTTTCATGTTTGTTTCCCAAAATGTAATGGATACATTTTTTAAAAAAAAAGGATGAGTGCAGTGTGAACCAACGTAGAGAAATGATGTGCTCCTCTGCTTCTCTCCTGTTAAATCTATGTGCAGAGGAAAAGTGTTTGACAAAATGAATACATTAACTTGTATGCAATAAAAAAAACATTGGTATGGTATTAGCATTCATGTGCAATATTGATAAACACACAGCAATTTAAATCTGGTCTCAAATCTATATATCCTTGACTTATTTTGTGGCCCAATCACTGAAGCTCTTTCAAACATACATTTATCAAAATCAATCACATCGCTAAAATGAGCTGCAAAAGTGGTTAATCGTTTATTTACCCTCCACACATAAAGATGCACCTCCCTGTTGATTGGGTGGAATCAATGAAGCACATTGTCCAGAATAATGGACGAGCTTGATGGCTTGGCTGATAAAGCCAAGTATGAAACCTGGATGGCCCCAGAATCAGTCCCCAATCTGTGTTCAATTAGATGATTTTACCCCAGGCAGAATGTTCAGCACCTCAGATTAGGGAGCAGAAGAAATCAATTAATTCAATGACGCACACTGCAAAGTGTATATATGAATATTAGATTACGCTGTGATGTTTTCATGATTGAATAGCTGGCATGAATGCTGTCTAGACTCAGACCTGAAGACCAACTATTCAAGAGATACTGGAAGGCAACCAACGTCCTAAAAAACATACGCCAAGATGAATCAGTGCCAAGAGGAAAGATGAGGAGAAAATTGGAGGCAAAAAAAACTATCAATTGTAGCCATCTTGATCTTGTACTCCATCTAAGGCCTTATGCTAAACAGAGGTCCAATCTTTCTCACACCATCATCATCATCAGCATTAATGACCTAATTACACACCAGAAAAGGTTCTCTATTCATAACTTACCAATTGTTTATTCATTGTTATTTTGTTGGACATAAGTTGTGGTGTGGGAATTTTTTTTACAAATGTTACCAAATTTTCAGTTTGCTATTCAAAAAGAGATATTTTATAAAATATATACTGCAAGCCACAATTCATTATTGGCCCACCGAGGCCCACCTGAGGTTTGGGATCCAACTTTATCCAACATTGGCCTTCAGTTCATACCAGCTTTGAGTTTAAAATTTCATTGAATGTCATTGATCCTGACCAGCAACAAATGTGTAAAACACACATTACATGCTTTTGGGGCAGATTTTCAAAAATGTGGTGCCTGCTCTAAACTAAACAAAAAGAACCAACACAATGATTTTATTGCTTGAAGGCAAACATCGCTGCAAGAATACAATGTCCAAACTCAATTCTTCAATCACTTTTCAGCTTTTTTTTCTGAAAAGGAATACACTCTCTGCAAAACATGGAATGGATTATAAAAAGTGCACGATGATGGTGTGGATAGGGCAGGTGACATAAAGCAGGCCAATGCTCACAGAACAAGACCTTGTGTAAAGTGCAATGGGGTAAACACCTCATCAAGATAATAGCTTAAAAAGATAGCGCCCAAGGTGATTTTCCCACTCAAATAACAGCAATTTGTATTTGTAGATATTAAATTTCTTTCAAAGCACGAGTTAAACGATATTTGCAGGAGGCAATAAAAATATTATGAAATATTTGTTTTCTTCACATTTACCCTCACTTATGCTTTCCTTAGAAAAATGTTTCTAAGGAAAGCAAAACTGATGAAGACAATGCATTGATGGTTTCAGTCAGCGAGGTAATCTACAAGGTTTGTGCACTGCTACTCCAGGGATGTCAGTTCAGCTGAAGTTTAGTAACTTCCAAAAATGGAAAACAATGGAAAATTTGGAAATAACTTCCATTTAACTTCTCTGCCCATTGTCAATTTTGGCAGTTACATGAAGAATAGAAATCATTCTCAATAACAATTATTAGTTTACATTTACACCTCGCTAAACACAAACTAATGTGTCATGCAGAGGAATCAATAGAAAATCACTTTTAGGCATCTTCATTTTCAAAGAGTGCAAGAGTTCCTATAGTGCAAACTTCAATGTTTACCGCTCAATAGACATCAATCTACAATCTCAGAGTTATAAACACTTCAATGTTATAGAACCAATTTAGGGTCACAGGACTGTGTTATTCAATTTATAACCCAGTGCACTGTTTGTTTTAGGGCTTGGTGCATTGTACTCATATTTTGCATTTTTATCAATTTGAGATAATTACTGTATCTAAAAGAATAAAATATTTTTCATAACATGAATGTTACAGCTACTGACCTTCAGAGTTCCATCATTTGATTCTAATGTATCTGTAACAATTCTGCTATCACATCAGATTTCTAGCATATTATTGTACATTGACTCCAATGACAAAAATAAATAAATTTCACTTTTATGAAGTTGACTGTCAATTATGGCTACATTTGTTTTGACCATAGTTTTCAAAAAGTCGTAACTAATTTATAAAATTAGTACATACTGATAAATACTGATGGTTGCGTGGACAACCATAGTTGGTAATGTTGGAAGTCTTGTTTTTTTGTTCGTTTAATCTTCTGCAGCAGATTCTTCCGCCTTCCGTCAATGTTTTGTCAGTCACTCTCATGTTCTTTTGTTTAATTTTCAAAATCTTCCTCTTCTTGCGCATCCTGCAATTCATCCTCTGTCTCCTCATAATCATCTTGGTATTCATAGCTTTCACATCCATCTCCATCAGATTTGTCTTCAGAACTGGGGAAATAAGTTTACACCCACATCACAAGAGTATTAGACTTTACAGCTGAAATCTTATGCAGTGCTGTGGGGAGTGCCGTATTGTTTGAGATGCTTTCATTCAGAAAAAAATGTTAAACCAAGATTCTGTGTGCCTGTTTAGTGGATGTTTTAGCACTATCCAAAAAGAGAAGGAAATTTCTCTTGCTGTCCTGACTAACAATTCCCCAGCTAAAATTGAGGAGTGCTGTAGCACTCGCCTCACAAGTGAGAGACCTAGGTTCAATTCCTGGGCAGTGCGAAAGGTTGGGCATGTTTCCTTAATCCATATGCCACTGAATACCTAGCAGTAAGAAGGAGCTGGTTGTTAGTTGATTGGCGGATAGCTTTTCCGGGGGTAATAGTTCCTTCAAAATAAATAAAAATAATTTGGTCCCTCTATCCAGTGCTGCATGCAATTGGCTGCCACGTTTCGCCCACAAAATATACAGTCAATTCACTTTACAGTATACTATGTGAGGCACTTTGATCGTCTCAAAGACGTGATAAGGCGCTATGTCAAATGCAAGGATTATTATAAAATTGATCATTTATTTTGTGGCTTTTGTAGGACACTACTGTGCGTAAATTGGCTGCCACATTCACTTACAGTCACTACACGCTACAGTATGTAAGAAGCCTTTTAAGACATCTCAACACCATCATAAGATGCTATGTCAAATGCAAGAATTATTTATTATAATAAATATTTAAAAATCCAAAATTAATAATGATTACCCTTCAAATCTTTTGAAATATAATCTTGATGTTTGGTTCTCTTAAACAGGGTAACTGGAAACCTTTCAAAACATAAAACTGCTGATACTGGATAATACAGCAAAAGGCTACCTTTCTTCCTTTATATTGTTGTCTTCATCAATCTTCTCAGATGTTTCAGCACTGGAGTGTATAGTAAAATCTACAGTGCGGCCTTTTCTGGTAACAAAATCTTCACTCAGTCCTCGATCTTTTAGAGCTGCTGCATAATGTCTCTCTGCTGCTCTCCTCGCATTCCTCTATACACAACAAAACAACGGCATTTTGACAATTGACATATTGGCACTCTATTGGGACTGTAATAGCTGGTAAGATGTCAGAAAATGGGATATGCTGTTAAAATGATATAATCCCTCTCAATTTTCTCTTGCTGTCACAGCTTGAGATCTTGAGTAACTTCAAATATTATTCTCCTTAATAGAGATTTTCATATCTACATCTTTTAGGTGTATTGGGTAACCAAAGTATCTGGCCTGATACCTGTCTGAAAACAAAGCAACAATTTTTGATAGGATTGTCATAAATTCACTAGATTGCTCCTGAGCAAGAAACTGGATTTCTTCTGAAATGTTAGATTTTTAAGAACCAAGTTCTTATGAAAAGCTTTTCCTAAAAAAGTTATCCTTGACTTTCTGTGATCATCCAGCATTTTCTGTTTTCAATTTCATATTTCCAGTTTTGCTTTTTAGTAACAATACGACATCCTATTCTCCATCGCCCACCCACCTCCTCGGTGCCAAAATCCTATTCTCCACCGCCCACCAACTCCTCTGTGGGCCCCCTCAAGCATCCTCAATCATCACATCTAACGCCAAGTGCGAAGAGGTCATAAACTTCCTTACCTCTAAAATTGACAACATCGCCTGGCAGCTTTATCCTTCTGCCCCGTATTGCCTACCACCACCCCCATTCTGTCTCCCTCACCCACCCCGCCATCAGCTCCTAACACAGGCCCCATCTCTGCTTCCTCCCTCTCATCCACCATCACCACAATGAAACCCACTACCAGCTGCCTGGAACCCCTCCCACCCAACTGCTGATCATCCAGCACCCCCTCCTCTGCCCACTACTGGCAGACACTATTAACCAGTCTCTCTCCTCAGGATCAGTCCCTCAAAACTGCGGTCATCACACGCCTCCTTAAAAAACCTACCCTCGATCCCTCCAACCTCGGCCACTACTGCCCTATCTCAAACCTGCCCTTCCTTGCCAAAGCTCAGGAATGCGTTGTTGTCAACCAAATTCGCACACACCTCTCCCTCCACTCAGCCTCCAGTCCAGTTTCCACCCTGCTCACAGTAGAGACAGCGCTCGTGAAAGTCACAAATGATATCCTCTCCATCTGTGACCAGGGTTCTCTCTCTGCCTCCTCATCCTCTTGGACCTCTCCACCGCGTTCGACAGTTGATCACAACATCCCTCCTCCCCCACCTGTCCTCCATCATCCACCTCAGTGGGACCGCACTCGCTTAGTTCGAGTCCTACCTTATAAACCGCCAGCACTACATTTCTGCAAATGGCTCTTCTTCTCGCTTCCACCCGGTCACCTATGGGGTACCCCAAGGATCCATCCTTGGTCCTTTCTCTTTCTCATCTATATGCTCCCTCTCGGTGATGTCACCCACAGACATGAAGTTAATTTCCACATGAAAGCGGATGACACTCAACTCTACTTTTCCACCTCCAGCTGCGACCCCCCAGTCCCCTGATGTTGTCAGCTTGTCTGTAAATTTCCTGCAGTTAAACATTAATAAGACGGAAGCCATACTTTTTGGCTCCCGCCGACGTCTTCTGTCGCACGGTTCCGACCTCCTCAACCTCCCGACCTGTCCTTAAAACTCTCTGAACCTGTGTGTAACTTAGACGTCAGGTTCAATGGACAATTATCCGGTCTCAAGACCCTCAAATCCGGTCCCTTACCAGCACTGCTTTCTTCCACCTCCGCCACATTGCCCGTTTCCGACAATACCTCACTCCAAAAGCTGTTGAAACCCTTGTCCATGTCTTTGTCATCTCTCAGCTGGACTACTCTAACGCCCTCCTCGCCGGTCTCCCCTCCTCCACTATTCACAAAATTCAGCTCATTCAAAACTCCGCCGCCCGCATTCTCACCCGCACCAAACTTCTTACTCGATTACTCCAGTCCTTGCCAAACTCCACTGGCTCTATGTCACAGAGTGGATCGACTTCAAGATCTTCACTCTAGGGTTTAAATCCCTCCATTCCTTGGCACCCCCTATCTCTCTAACCTCCTCTCTCCCCACAGCTGTACCTGTTGCCTCCGCTCTCCTGGGTCCGGCCTCCTACGTGTCCCCTAAATTCTCCACTTCACCATCAGCAGCCGTGCCTTCAGCCACTACACCCCATAACTTTGAAACTCCCTCCCTCAGTCCCTTCTTCCCCATCTTCAGGTCACACCTGAAGACCTTGCTCTTCAACCGCGCCTACAGTCACCTTCCCCACCCCCCTGGCTCGGCCTCGGGCTCCGCCAATGTTAAGCGCTCTGAGACGCAGCTCGGCTGGAGGGCGCTATATAAATGCAAGTAGTTGTTGTTACAACATTTTGATGCTGAAATTCAAATTTGATTTCAATTAAAGACCTGGTCTTGTGTAAACATACCTGTGTGAGTTCTTCTAAAAGCAGAGGCCTCTTACTTACTCTCTCTCGAATTTGCTCAAGCTCCTGGTAGTATTCTTGTGTTCTTTGTCTCTGATCATTTCTGCCAAGGTAGATAACAAACACAGATAACAAACACATGGTTTGCACATTTTGAAATGAATATTTTTGAATTTTATCAAATTGCCCAAAGGAAAGAAAATTTCTCTGTGTGTCCTGGCTAATATTACTCTGGAATAATTGGACATTCACTTCAGTGCTGTTCGTTGCAAGGAAGCAACCTAAAGCAAAAATGCCTGCCATGTTTACCTACAAAAAATAATCACTATGGTAAAAGTAGTTATCTATGAAGCATTACTTTGAAATGTTTTTATGATAAGAAGTTATGAAAAATGCAAGTTATTTCTTTAAAGCACAGAAATAATTGCATACAATTAGGCAATTAAAATTCATAAAGAAGGTAGCAAAATGCCACATCAAATTTATGTGCAGAACCCATAGGATTTACATTTTTGTTTTTGGGTACAATCGTGATTTACAGACATACCTGTATTGCTTTAGTTTTGATTCAGATACTTCCGCCAAACTCTGGTGAGGATCATTTGCCTGTGCACGGGTAGATATAAATTTTTTAAATTTCTGTTCCCTCAGTTTTTTCTCATATTTATGGTTTTCTTCTACTTCTTCTTTCTTCCTCTTTTCTTCTAGAGCCTTCCTGCAAAGATGATAATCGCAAGACAAATATTTAGAATAACATGTTGGTAGATTTTAAAGATCCTGTGACACTATTTGAAAAGAAAGATTGCTTGTGCCTGGTTGACAATCTCCACCCCAAATATCAGTCCTTTACCTCATGGCTGTTTGTGGGACCTTGTGGTTTAATTGTTTGCCTACAAAAATACTGATAATTACCAAAAAGAGGGTTGACTGTTGAGAAACAGTGGAGCCTGGCTAGAACTGGGGTTATAGGTGCAGGTGAGGATCTGGCAAAGGTGTTTTGGATTAGTTAGAGCTTACTAGGGAGAACAGCAAAGGCATCTGAAAAATCTAGGTGGGAGGTAATAAGAGCATGAATAAGGTATGTGTTGTGAGATTGGGGCAGAGGTGGGCAATGTGGCATTGGTCAAGAAAAACAGTCTTGGTCAGGGACAGAATGTGAGGAAGGAAACGAGGGCACATAATTGTACCAGACACTGAGGTTGCGCCGTGGTTTACTGTGTTTCAGAGAGACAGAGGTCAAAGAGGCTGAGGGAGAAGTGAGGAGACATTGTTAGGACTAAGGGAGGTGATTTCTGATTTAATGTTAAGCTGCAAGAAATTGAGTCTGATCCAGAACTTGATGTCTGACAGGCAAGTGGAGACTATATCAGTGTGCCTGAAGCAAGAGAAGAAGTGTAAAATAGATTTGGGGGGCATCCACATTCTGTTAATCCCATGTCTGCAAATGACGTTGATTCCAAGGAGGAGCATAAAAGAGATCAAGGGAATATAATCAGTGTTCTGAACTAAATAATACCATAGCAAAGGTGTACACTTAAGTTTAGGTATACCAGATATGTATTTACATCATATTAAAATATAATAATAATTGCATTTGATATAGCGCCTTTTCACATCTTCGGGACTCCTCAAAGTGTATTAAATGCATTGTCAATGAGTTTAAATAAATATTATGGTTCAAAGTGTAAATAAACCATTATGAATGAAATGATGCAGAATGTAAGAGTTAAGTTTTTCACTCCACACAGATCATTATGTTGAAAGTATTAAACTCAGTAAACAATCATGCATTGCTGTCTTTTACCTGATTGTATGGACCACTTGACAATAGTTATTTTAATGCCACAATGTGTTCTTACCTGATAGCATCTTTTCTCTTCTTTGCAGCGTCTGTAATCTTTATAGTTTCTGACTCAGAAGATTCTGTTTGTGGTGAATTTGAGTCATAGCATGGTTTACTGAGGTTTCTGGAGGACTTGTATGGCCAGCGAGTCTCTTTCAACCGATATTCATCTGCTTGTATATCCTGCAGAATCTTGTCCTTTTTGGAAGCAATAAGAGAAGTGTGCAGGCGGAAGGGTTCACACACAGTTGTTTGTTTTATGCTCTTCTTTCTCATCAGACAACTCTGAGATTTTCTATGCAGCATCTCAAAATCTGGCACTTCTGTGTTTATCCGGGGCCTAAACTTTGGCTTCTTATTTGCACCATAACACTTTGCCTTCCTCTTTTCCGACCAAGCATTATGAATAAGCATATTTTTTGGAAGAGATGCACTCTTTAATAACTCTTGGGCTCTCATTTGTATCTTAATTGCCCTATAAAGTTCTTCCTCTTGGATTCTGTCTTTGAACTTTGAATCAAAAATATATTTGGGGACCGGCTTTGCTTTAAATGTAGTATTTTTCTTGATTGGGATACCAAAGTCTGGCATTTGTATGTTTCTAAGTTGCTTCTTCCTCTCCTCTCTTTCAATAAACTTAAATGGTTTTTGCATTGCCATAACAATTTCGTTGTTCTTCATCTTTGCAAACATTCGCCTTTCTTCATTCCTCTGCATAATTTCTTCATAAAATGGGATGTAAGTATGGGCCGGGACAGGGTTAGCACGGAATTTTTTCTGGCATTCTGCTGCTTCTTCAAGTTCCTTTTGCAGTTTAAAATTCTCCATTTCAATTTCAGACCGAGACTTAATCTTGTTCTTCTTTTTCTCAGCCTCCCTGATTGTCATCTGGAAAGGATTTGGCACAGTAATCTTTGGTGACCAATGCTTTGGTGTTTTAACCTTTTTAATTTTGATTACACATATGCTTCCAGACTCCGGTGGGGTTTCATGTGGGGCATAGTCTTCCACAGAAAACCCGTCCCACATTCCCTGAATTCGATCTCTTCCAGAAGACAAGAGAGTTTGCCTAGATATTTCTTCATCATCATCACCACCACCACCACTGGACATTCCCGACAGACTTGAGTACACACTACTGTCCAGCTCAGTTGTGGAATAATGCTCATATGTTTTCTCATTTGGACTCCTTTCACTGGTGGTACTGTAGTAAAAAAAAAGTTGAAAAGCAAATTTGTACTAAATTATGGTATTGTAGCATATTATTGATAGATATCTCATCTATGTATCATTATTATACCAAAATCACTCCTTGCATGTATATTCTCCTAAAAGAATTCCTTAACTTTTATTCAGTGTTCACATTCTCAGTCAATCCTCCAGTGCATGGTGGATAGCTGAGTTCAATCTGTCTATATATTCTTCACATAATGTCCCTACTAATCTCTCAGTATTTTCATTGCCTACCTGTAATATACTCCTGATGTTTTGCTTAGATCCTCTGATACTAGATCCCTGATACAAAGTTTACTCTGATAGAGTTTTTCTAGTTGTGTCATTGCATGAATATGTGCATTCTTCAGTTCCTCCAATTTCTTATAGTATTCCTCATCAGACAAGCCACGCAATTGGCTTGTGCTTAATCTGTCACTGTCTTGCCCGTCGTTAGCTTGTCTGGACTCCTCTTTCTCATCAATCGCAGAACCAGAATCATTTTCATTCTAGGAAAAAAAGAGAAAATTTTTTAGTATAGATGTTCCTGTTATTCACGGATTATACTCAACATTTAAAAATATACATTACTATTGTCATCTTGCTGATCAAGTTAGAAAACAAATGTAATTGATATCATTTCTTGCCTTTTTATGAAATAACACAAAGTTATTAGAAACAAAGGATTATTACAGAAAGAGAATTTCAAACAATAATGATAGATTAGATCATTCTGCAGAGCAAAAAAGTGGGATTATATATTTAATGGGGAAAAAAATAATAGACAGGTAGCTCCAGTAGTCAAGACCTGGATATCGGTGCAGAGGAAAAGAGAGGGGGCAGATTTTCTCTGACATTTAGAAATGAACTAAGTCTGCACAATTGTTTAACAATTCAAAACAATCAATAGCAAGTTCTATTGCATCTACTTGTTGTAGATCATTATGTAAATAGCCATGGATTATTTACACAAAACAAAAATACAAATGAAATAATTTATACAGAGGAGAATATTATATTGTTGTTGCTCATTGTACAGAACATAAACACTGCATTAGGTAGAGAAAACAGCACATCAATGGATCTAATCCCGTTCTCATTTTCACATATTTAGACAGACATTCATTCAACTTCATTGACTAGAACAGACAGCTTGAGTCAAATGACAATACTGCCAAAGTACGGTGTGAAAAAATTGCTATTTTATTGTTACTACTGGCAGTGTTATACCTACTAATATCACACTCTTTCAATAGCTTTAGCTTCCATTACATAAGTCTTGTTCACTCTCCTCCCCCAAGAGCACAGCCTATTAAAGGCTGGAAATCTTGTCTGAGAATTGGATTATCTGCAGACGGAGCTAACATATGGTGCAAGAATAAATTTGGAAAGTATCACGTACCAGTATTAATTAGACGACATGCTTCTAAAGTATACGCTGCAAAATTAAAGAGGTTGATTCCTCACGATAAGAATCACGAGCATAAACTGCGTAAAAATAAGCAAACCCCTTTTTCGTCTCTCCTTTTGAGACACCATTTGTATTATTAGTTCAATGGAAAAAGTGGCATAAGGAAGATTAACGCACAGTGCCTGAAAGGGAGCTGTAAAGTAGCCTAAGTACATGCATTGTGCGGACTACTGAACAGGTAATGCATTTCTATATAAGAATGTTAAATAACTTCTTCATAATTAGCGAAAGGATTTTGTTTTAGAAATGTAAAACAGGGTTTTCCAAAATCAAATATCATTCATGGAAACAATTATTAAAACGTTTTTAAAAAATTATAACGATCCATTTTAACCAAAATGACATTGTCTCTCCCTGTTGTTTTCTCACTCTACTGCCTCCGTAATCTTCACTCGCTCTCTGCCCGTCATCCTCACTCACTCCCCTGTAGTCTTAACTCACACACTCTCATTCACTCACAATCTCTCCCACCCCTTGGCTCTAACCCTCACTCTCCCCCGGGCTGTAACCCTCACTCTCCCCCTCACTCTCCCCCTCACTCTCCCCCGGGCTGTAACCCTCACTCTCCCCCTCACTCTCCCCCTCACTCTCCCACGGCTGTAACCCTCACTCTCCCCCTCACTCTCCCCCTCACTCTCCCCCGGGCTGTAACCCTCACTCTCCCCCTCACTCTCCCCTCACTCTCCCCCGGGCTGCAACCCTCACTCTCTCACTCACTCTCCCCCAGGCTGTAACCTTCACTCTCCCACTCACTCTCCCACGCCTGTAACCCTCACTCTCCCACTCACTCTCCCACGGCTGTAACCCTCACTCTCCCCCTCACTCTCCCCCGGGCTGCAACCCTCACTCTCTCTCCCCCGGGCTGTAACCTTCACTCTCCCACTCACTCTCCCCTCACTCTCCCCCGGGCTGCAACCCTCACTCTCTCTCCCCCGGGCTGTAACCCTCACTCTCCCCCTCACTCTCACCCGGGCTGTAACCTTCACTCTCCCACTCACTCTCCCACGCCTGTAACCCTCACTCTCCCACTCACTCTCCCACGCCTGTAACCCTCACTCTCCCACTCACTCTCCCACGCCTGTAACCCTCACTCTCCCCCTCACTCTCCCACGGCTGTAACCCTCACTCTCCCACTCACTCTCCCACGGCTGTAACCCTCACTCTCCCCCTCACTCTCCCCGGGCTGTAACCCTCACTCTCTCACTCACTCTCCCCGGGCTGTAACCCTCACTCTCCCCCCCCCCTCACTCTCCCCCTCCTCTCCCCCGGGCTGTAACCCTCACTCTCCCCCTCCTCTCCCCCGGGCTGTAACCCTCACTCTCCCCCTCACTCTCCCCCGGGCTGTAACCCTCACTCTCCCCCTCACTCTCCCCCGGGCTGTAACCCTCACTCTCCCCCTCACTCTCCCCCTCACTCTCCCCCGGGCTGTAACCCTCACTCTCCCCCGGGCTGTAACCCTCACTCTCCCCCTCACTCTCCCCCTCACTCTCCCCCGGGCTGCAACCCTCACTCTCTCACTCACTCTCCCCGGGCTGTAACCCTCACTCTCCCCCTCTCTCTCCCCCGGGCTGTAACCCTCACTCTCCCCCTTACTCCCCCCGGGCTGTAACCCTCACTCTCCCCCCCCCCTCACTCTCCCCCCCCCCCCTCACTCTCTCTCTGGCTGCAGGTACTCACCCCCTTCTCGTCGTCGCCGGTGGACGCGCCGCTCGAGCGGCTGCGCTGCTGGCGGAGGTTGGTGCGGAGGGCCTCCTGCCGCTCGGACAGGGTGCGCGGCGCCTCGGTGTGCGGGTTGACGGGTGTCCTGACGCAGGAGGTGACGAGCACGGACTCTCGGTGCGGCGGCTGCATGGCGACCGTTGAACCGCGCGCCGCGACTCGCGCCATCGCCAGGCAACGGCCGCCGCCGCGAGCGGAGGGGGCGGGGCAACGGGCGCTGACATGCGCGCTACGGGTCGCCGCCGTGGACACAGGGTCCGCGTTTGTCCTCACAGCGGGTCGGTCACGTGGAGGAAGGGACGAGGGGGGGGGGGAGGGACCTGGAGCCGACGTTCGTCACAGCCCGAAACGCTTTGGTGAGTAGAGCTCAGTGCCATGAGCGGTCACCCCGCGGGTTCGATCCCCGGCAGAACCGAAGCCTTCGGCGCGTTTCCCTTAATAATAATCCTTGCATTTGATATAGCGCTTTTCACGTCGGGAGGACGTCCCAAAGCGCTTCACAGAACACACTGTAAAGTGAATTGACTGTATATTTGTGGGCGAACGCGGCAGCCAATTGCGCACAGCAATGTCCCACAAACAGTCGTAGATTGAAAATGACCAATTTATTATTGTTTTTGGTTTTGGAGGGATTATTATTAGGCTCTGTGTGGAGTAAGGAAACTTGCCCAAGGTTTCGCCCTCTGCCTGGAATTGAACTCGGGTCTCTCACTTGCAAAGCGAGTGCCCTAACCACTGAGCTACAGGATTTACTCCACGCGCCTCCGTTTATCCAACCGCGAGTAAGGAACCCGGTTGTTCGTCGACTTTGGGGCATCGCTTTTCCAGGGTAATAATCCCTTCCAGTAACAACGACAGTGCTAATAATGCTTTGGTCCGTGGGACGCTGCGGTGGGCAATCGGCTGCCGCGTTGCGCCCGCAAAGTACGCGGTCGATTCACTCTACAGTATATCCTGTGAAGCGCTTTGAGACGCCTCGAAGACGTGATAAGGCGCTATATCAAACGCAGGGATTACTATTATTTATTATTATCTGCGACATCAAAACGGGCCATTCAGCCCAACTCAGCTCATCCCTCAACGTGTTTATTATTCCACATGAGCCTCCAACCCCATCCTATCTTAATTTCACCCCTTTCTTCCTCTCTTTCCTGGATTATTCGAAAAGTAAAGGGAGTTTCTCCCCGCATCCTGGCCGACAATCCTCCAGATAAAAATATTGGTCATTCACTTTGTGGGTGGCTGTGGGCAAATTTGCTGCCGCGTTCACCTACAAATATTCGGACACAACGCTTGGCCATTGTGATAATAGAAGCCTTAAATTTGATATAGCACCTCGTTCAGTGGAACAAAATATTACAACTACTATATTCGTATTGGTCTACCAGAAGTGCCAAATATCATGAAGGCTTGTAAACTGGAAGTATTAGATTACGAGATTCTTGGTTTGTGAACAAAGAAAAGCTGGTCAAATTAAATAGCACCTTCTTAACAAAATTGCACTTTTGAAACAAATTTTCATTACTCTCAGCCTTCACAATCGGGCTGTTAATACAGTAACAGGATCACTGTAATCCGATAAACTGAAGGTCACATTGCTTCCCAGTACACCAATAAGATTTGACTGTTGTACATCTGTCAAAACATGGCTATTTACAAAAAATCTTGCAATTTTCTCCCCTACACCATTGATGGGGGAAAACTAAAATGGTCGGATTCCATGACAATTTACATTTATAGTGCTTTTGACATAACATCTCAAAGTACTTTACAAAAACAAGGGGGAGTCCAAGCTGTGCGGGTAGTGGTTTTTAAAACAGTCGAGGTAGGATTTGAAAGCAGAGAGGGATATGGGGAGAGTTCAAGAAAATCAAGTCTGGAACCAACAAAGGCCAAGATGAGGATGTCAGCACCATTGGGGATGAGGTAGTGGCAAAAGCAGAGGTGACAGAAATTGGCCTTGGCCAAAGCTCAAGACGAAATGTTTGCAGAAATTTGGCATTTATTTATTCTTCAACTTTCCTCAGTCTCCATGAATTGGTGTGAGCAATCAGGGAGATCAATATGGTCAGCATCTGAATTGAGGTGGCACTGATTGGAGCCAAGCAGGTCAGCCTTAGTTTTGTCATCATTGAGTTTGAGAAAGTTACAACTTCAAAATAAACCTTTCACAGAAATTTGGGATATCCTGACTCAATTGTACGTTATGATGACCAATTCATATAAGTGGGGAAACCAAGGCAATAAATTATTCAGGTTCCTTTTCGTGCGTAAATTGGAAATACAGTTACATTTGTATAGCGTCTTTCATGTCAGAATGACGTCCCAAGGCACTGGACAATCAGGGATTCGAAGTTCCATAGGTTGGGGGAAGAAAGGCTGAAGGCCTGTCCGCCGATGGTGGGACGGGCAGAGCGCGATAAGGAAGTTCAATTCCAGAAAGCCTTTTTCCATTTCATGTTCTTAAAAGCTGGAGCGAGGGAGACTAAGAACGTACAAACGTGAGAGCAGGATCAAAACAATTAATTACATCTCCATTTGTTTACTGAACAAATACTTTCATCTGTGGCTTTCAGTTCAGAATGCATTTAAGCAATGTATTTTTCTCAGAAAAAAGTCAGTGCAACATGTGCAAAGAAACTAAAATCAATGTAAATAAAATGTCACTAATTAGGAGATTCCCCGATTGGGATTGATTTGTGAAAAATCCCATTGTAACCTCACATTGCCTAGATCTGTATGTTTATAGACCAGTGGGGGGCATGATGTTTTCATCTGTAGACCTAGGAATATATGGTTCGTTAATTGCTATGTTGATTTCATACTATTGCTGTTTTCGTCAAGTGTTCTTTTTCAAATCCAACCACCAACAATAAATTGCACCCTTAGGAGCACCTGGGTCTCAAAAGTGAAAATGCACGTTGGTATCTATGGAAGGATACAATCAATAACCAAAAAGAAAAAAATGACAATGTCAGTGTCCAACTGTAACATTTTATTAAGTTATAAGATTCTACTAGTTAGAAAATACAATGAACATCGAGTCTGCACAGTGGGTAAGCATATTTAATTGAAACCAAGTTCTTTCTTTCTTGGTTTGATGGGCGATCACACATGGAGTCAGACATGCCACTTTTGCTGAACGTTAATCAATTACCGAGCGTTAACCTGGAAAAAGAAAAAAGACCATGAAACAACCTTATCTTCCCCAGCTAGAAATAGATTTCTAGCTTTTACTTAACCTACTTTGTGGGGGTTAAAAACCCAACAAACATTAGATCTCAGGTACTGCTAATTATTTGTTTTAACAGTACCAATGAGAATCGGCAGTACAACTTTTTTTTCTAATAAGTTACTGATGTCAGCACATTTTATTTCGGTTTTAGTATCTACCAAGAAAACATCAAGTGTTGCATTCTCCTTTGCAACAAATATATAGCTTGCTTCAAATATAATTACCACATCGTCAATCTTCAGAATGCTACGGACAGTTTCTGTGGCTAGTGTCAGGGCACTAATGGAGACCAGCAGAGGCTGCACAACCAGCTCTTCCAGGATGTTAGAAATGCCACCCTAAAAAATATTAAGGACAATGAAAGAAATGAAACCTCCTACACTCAAACAAGCTTTCAGCACACAAACATAAGTTAACATATTGATTTGAAGGAATAAATCTCACCTTTCTAACATTAATGCCTGCAGTCTTTTCTCCTTGTGCATGTCTGTTTCTCAGCTCTGTCACAGTGGAAATGGGGTTAAGGCCTGCATTTTCAGCCAAGGTAAATGGAATAATTTCTAGGGCATCAGCAAATGTACGTACACAGTATGCCTCCATGCCACTTAGGGTTCGAGAGTAATCAGTCAAACGCAATGCCAGCTCAATTTCTGGAGCACCACCTCCAGCAATCAATGCCCTGGAAGAAATACATGAATAGTTTCTTGAAAAAAAAGCAGACATTTGCAATTGAACTACTTGGAAATTTAAGCGAGTACAGAATTTGCTGTTGATAGAGGTGGACATATTTCTGTTAGGTAAGGGTATCATGGGATATGGGGCAAGGGCATGTAATTGGAGTTGAGGTACACATCAGCTATGATCTTACAGAATGGCTGAACAGGCTTGAGGGACTGAATAGCCTATTCCTCTTCCTATGTTTCTCTTTCTATATATTATGTTAGTTACGTAGTCGCATTTAACTTAAAGGACTAAGAACCCAGTCCAGTAAGATAATTTCTTACGAGATAAAAATTTCCTTATCTTACAATTTTGTACTTTATATCAAACATATCCATGACAGTTTTGAAATTTTAAATGAAAATTATTAAAAGACATCTATTATAGGAAATCTTAACCATTGAGTTTTCCCTCATAAAACCTGACATGACAGCAGCTGAGCTTATTAAAGTCCTATAGAAATGATATATTAAGTGTTACTGATTGAAAACAATTGAGTGTCATTTTCATTAAAATGCAATCTAAAGCCCACACTGCGAAAACCTTTTACCTTTTCTTTACCAAGCAACGAATCACACACAGAGCATCATGGATGGAACGTTCAGCCTCATCGATTACCAATTTATTGGACCCACGGACCACAATTGATACAGTTTTTCCTGGATTTGCAGCACCAGTAATCTATAATTAAAGTTATTTTAATACAATTAAATCACCAACATTCTCATATAATTAAAGGTTTAAGATTGCTTCTGTATTAGAAATTAAACTAATGGCTTCCAAGTATCTTTGATCATTACCTTGATCAGCTTGCCAGAACCATTTAAATGGAGTTCCTCTGCCAACTCTGCCGAACCCAACATATCTGCTGCAAACTGATCAACATGGGCTATTGGTTTTGTGCCAATAGTCTAAAAAGAAGGAATATTCAATGGTTTAAAGATGACGAAAAAGCAATTCAGAATGTTAGTTTTGTAATGAAATCTTAAAAATCATTGTGTACCTTGCAGATAAACTCAATATCTTCTCTCTCAATATCCTTGACCACCATAATCTTCATCTTATTGAGGAAGTGCAGTGCCAAATCACTAAGCGCATCCCTGAAACAAAAAGCAATGGAGCATAACTAAAGATCACGGTCACCAAAAGATTGAGGAAGTAAATTATTTTGAACTTTTGATTCAAAGAGTTGGGAAAGAGATTTAGCTCTGTTGCAAAGTAATGTCACATTTCAAAGTAATGACAGTTAGCGTCAGTGGTCATAAAAGGTTAAGACTATTAATATTGAGGTCCGCAATCCTGGATAATTGCGTCCCTCCATGGAGAGGTTGCGTATTCTTTTCCATACATTGGAAATTTCCGTGCTATATAGCATTTGTGAAACGCTTAGTTTGGCTTAAATATTTTGATTTAAATATAAACTGGACTTGATTAGTTTATACCACAATTGTATGCAGCTTCACAAATTTAAGGAAATCAATGTCCTCAGTGGGGTTATCCTTTCAAAGAAAAATAAACGTGAAAAAATAAAAAGTGGTCACTCACGACTCCATTATTTGTGGGACACTGCTGTGTGAAATTGGCTGCTGGGTTTCGCCCACAAAATAAACAGTCAATTCACTCTACAATATATTTTGTGAAGTGCTTTGAGACGTCTTGAAGACGTGATAAGGCACTATATCAAATGCAAGCATTATGATTATTATATCTCAACACAAAATGAAATACCTCAGGATTGATTTTTGGATCAGCAGAACATTGCATCCAGCTTTTTTAATCTGTTTCACCAAGTTCAAAATGTAGGCACGTTCTTCACGCAAAACACGGTCCATTTGGGCATAATCAGAAACTATTATCTGGTTTTCCATCTAGATGGTAAAATGAGTGAACAAAGAATCTTTTAGATGCAATTTCAAGATGAGAAACAAGCAATTGAACAGTAAAGATTTCAGAAATTCTATGAACAGGAAGTCAATGTTCATTATTCAACAACTGGTCTGATCAAGCCTGTCCCCACAATACCACAAATGGTAAATTCTTAATCTCATTTTTTCTCCCATTTTCCCATAAACTCTCAAATGGAGGCCAAACATATCTTCTGTAGAAACAAAAAGTCACCACTTGCTCTCCAGCCTCTTAACCTTAATAGGGAGGAGGACACTTACATTCATTTGCAAAGGGTATTTACTTAAAAATAGGTCAAAATCACAGGCAATGTTAAGACAATTCTGTTTTTGAAGCAACGTTCTTGTAATATACAACTTTGAAAACTATTAATGTCCACTTAACCAAATGGTCTAGTAAATAATTTCGGGTTATACCATATTTTCCTACATTTTATTCTAACCACAAAATGTATACTTACATCAGTTTTTGGAGCAGACAAACAGAACTGGATGAGCCCAATCTTTGCTTTTTCAACTCGTGTTACACCAGTGTTGGCTAATTTTTGGGTCAGAACCAGTCCATTAACCAATTCACAGTCATCAATAGTTCCTCTACAAGACAAGTTTTAAACCATTTACAGCATAAGACACTCCCAACATTTTTGTAAACCTACAACAACCAATTTACAGATAATCCTATTTTCACACCATTTTTTCTCTCCTGCACTGTCAATGTAGATAAGTGGAAGGATGGAATCCAATTTTTACACTACAAATACTGTTGATCAGCGGTGGTCAACCTTTTTGGTTGGCCAACAAAATTATCATAATAATAGCAATATAGCATAGATTTATGCCATAAATCCAAGAAATACATTATCCAAATTCACCGCATGGGAATTCTGAATGCCTCAGACTGAGACAAGGAGAAGTTAAAACAAAGTATAGAACATTAGTTATTCAGTACCCTTTATAATTGATGAAGGTGCTTGTGCATTACACATTTTTTTAGAACAGTTTTTAAAAAGGTAATTTAGTTGAAATAATTGACGATCTCGTGGTAAAAGTACAGAACTTAGAATTCAGTTGGGAGTAAAATGGGAAATTTAGAGGGAGAAATATTTATCAGTTTCAGGTCATGCTTGTGACATAAGAACTTAAGCCTTTTAAATATAACCACAGTAAATCCTTGAAGTGCTTTACAATTTTAAAATACAAGATTTTCATTAAAAATGCATATGCTATTATTTTTTCTTACCCCAGTTTCTTGACAATTTTGATATCTTGGAGGTCGACACTTGTGGCTGTTGCTGGATCAATCACATTCATTACTGCATCTACACTCATTGGAGCGAGAAGACTGGCATATTGAGAAACAACCTACAAAACAAAAACGATGGTCCAGAACATACTCAGCATAACAATGCAGTGATGGTCACATTGTGCTACTTCAAACTCTTCTTACTCTAATAATCGTATACACTCTAGTCTTAACAATCCAGTTGGGAGGAATATTTAGAGACTCTACCTCAAGGTCACCTTCAGTTCCAAGATCTTTATAATGCAACTTCATGCAAATTTGCGCTAAATTACTCTTCAGTGATGACAATAATTGGCTTCAATGTTAATGGTCATTTAGAACAAGATTGAGAATGCACAAATATCATGTAGGACGGTGGAGCCAGAGTAGGGAGACTATTATTGATACATTTTAGATAATATGGTGCAGGGATATCAACTGTTCAGAAATACTTTGGGATCATGATTCCCTTCCTCAATCCAACTACTTCTCATTGTTCACTCAATGCGTTTAATAGTGCATAATTAGAATAGTCCTAATTTGATGTTTCTTGTGCAAATCAAGAAAACTTCCCAGATTTATCAACATGGACATAAATCAGCTGGCAAACTAGTTACTTGCTCAATATCAGTAAAGATTGGAAAGTGTAAACTACCTGTATTATTATCTGAGATGGATATAAATCAGTGGTGAAACAAGAGTCCTAAACATCACTATATACATTGCCTGGAAGACGTTCTTTTCAATAGAAAGTTAATTGCGTAAGCGGCAATAAAATAAGAATTCTAATCTACAAGCCTTTGTAAAACACCGTGAAGGATTTACAAAATAAATGGTCTATAATATAAACAAAATCCTTTTCAATAATAGTGCATAAACCCCTCTCAATACCTTGGAACTAGGAGTTTCAAGCAAAGTGGCTAAGTTTGCAGATGACACCAAGCTAATGAAGGTGGTAGATTGCGAAGCTGAACAAGATAGGTTACAGGAGGATTTGAACATACTTGGGAACTGGGCAGATGGGTGCAGATGAAATTCAATGTGGAGAAATTTAAAGTACTTGATATGGGGACAAAAATCCTAACAGGGACTATTATTTGAATGGAGGCAAAATAACATGTATGGAAAATGAAAAGGGCCTGGGGGTCCTGATCAACAGTAAATTGAAGCTCTCTCAACAATTCTCTGCATCAGTGAGTAAAGCAAATTAGATGGTGGGATGTATCAAAAGATCAATAGCAAGCCGAAATAGTGGGGTAATCCTGCCACTGTTTAAATCATTGTGAGACCATACTTAGGAGTACTGTGTAGTTCCGATCACTGCAGTACAAAAAGAATATTGGAGAAATCAAAAAGATCCAGAGAAGGGCAACCAAAATGATTGAAGGAATGGAAGGACTGGACTGTGAGGAGCGACTAAGTAAATTGGACATGGTCACGCTGGAAAAGAGAAGATTGAGAGGCGACATGATTGCTATCTTTAAGATTCTAAAGGGAAAAGACAATATAGATCACGAGGCTGTTTCAACTTATTCAGAATAGTAAAACCTGAGATTGAAGGGAGTTAAATTCAGAACCAATCTACGCAAACACTAGTCAGTGAGCGAATAGTAAACCTGTGGAACAGGCTCCCTAGGGAGACGGTTGAAGCAGGTTGATTCTTACAGAAGCAGAAAGGCGAACTAGATGGACCTTGGGCTTTTTTCGTCTAGCATTTCTTATGTTCTTACGTACCTTGGAACTAAGAGCAGTGGTAGCACTGTTCAGAAGGGATTCTCGGTCACTGAGCTCCACAGGCTGCGCTATGCCATTCAAAACTTCAACTCCCTTTTCAGATGCCTTCTGGAAAGACTCAGAGATGATTGTAGGATGAATGCCTGGAACACACAAATGACAATATCTTTGGAAAAAAGGAAATGGAGCAAACGGACATATATTGAGACATATTATTTAATAATGATAATCCTTGCATTGATTGTAAAGCTCTAACATGTCTTTGAGATGTGTCAATGTGTTTCATAGGATTTATTGCAGTGTATTAACACATAGTCAAGCAGGACTTCTCTGAAAGTACTTTTTTATGAGTTACGAACATGTTACATGTGAATGATATAACCACCACCAGCTACCAGAATAAAACTGATGTATTAATTCTACAACTACTTTAGATAAATCAAAACTTAACTTACTTTAAAAACATCACATCTAACAAAACACCTTCACATCCCAACGATTTAAAATTCACAAGCAGCTAGCTCCTTGATACATTAGCAAACAGCAATATATACTGTACCTTTTTGAAGGAGTTTAGCACAGTAGTCCAGCAAAGCTCCTGCAATTACTACAACAGATGTGGTCCCATCACCAGCTTCAATATCCTGGGCCTTTGACAGTTCTACCAACTGTTATTAAAAGAGAAATAAGGCACTGCTTTTAGATTATACAGTAGAAACAAAACAGCACAATACAAGTTTGTCATGGCAACCTCCTGTCAAAGTAGTAAACTATTCTTCTTACGATTAACATTTAGACTGCAGTTATTCTAATATTAAACAACACTGTGTCAAAGGTTTATACATCAGATCGTTCATAGATTTTAATACATTTGTCTAAAATATTTGAAGTACGATTTAAACAAAGAGAAAGCTATTGACTACTGGTCAATGATTTTCTACATTTTAGTGGAACCATCTACAGCAAAAATGTGTTCTGCAACAGTTACCATTTTTGCTGCTGGGTGAAGAACCTGCATTTGCTTTAAAATAGTTGCTCCATCATTGGTAATGGTCACATCACCTTTTCCGTCTTGGATCTAGAAAAAAAAGAGTTCATCAACGGTAGGCGTCAACCTTAACAAAATAAACACGATGTGTGGATTCACCTCAATAATTAACTCAAGTTTCAAATCTAAGCAAAGGGGGAGGAAATCACAACTCGAGCGAGTAAATGGTCAGATTTATCCCTTATTTGGATTAGGGTAGCAATGACAGAGACTTGCAAGGAGGTAGTTTACCCTCCCTCATGATGACTAATGATTACATAGTGTACTTTCTTTCGGGGGGGTGGGAAGGTAGGATAAATATTTCTTGAAAAGAGAATGTCAGCAGTACCACAGCGCAATATTATATTAATACAGTATTAATTATATTAATACAGTATTAATTATATTAATACAGTATTAATTATATTAATACAGTATTAATTATATTAATACAGTATTATATTAATACATTGTGCATTGGTGTGTGGATTCACCTCAATAATTAACTCAAGTTTCAAATCTAAGCAAAGGGGGAGGAAATCACAACTCGAGCGAGTAAATGGTCAGATTTATCCCTTATTTGGATTAGGGTAGCAATGACAGAGACTTGCAAGGAGGTAGTTTACCCTCCCTCATGATGACTAATGAATACAGTACAGAGATTGCGAGGGGCACAAAGAAACACTCTAGATATATTTATTACATTTAGAAATCCATACCATTTTATCCATGCCCTTTGGGCCAAGACTGGTCCTGATAGCATCTGCAACAGCTGAAAAAGGAAATCCGAAATCAATCAGAAGCAATGAATTTGTTTTATTTCGTAAACTTAATTGGTTTTCTTTGTGATTTCACAAATGGTAAAAATGGCCTACTTCCAGGCCACCGGTTTAAACACTTCCTGCGCATATATATATATATATATATATATATGTATATATATCCCGATTCCTTCACAAAGGTCGTCCTGTAATTTTCAGTCAGAGTGCGGCCGGGGGCGAAAGAGAGAGAGGGAGGGGGAGGGATGGCAGATAAAGAGTACTCAATAATTGACGGCGCAGGTTGGGAGAATATACCTCATTGCAAAGGGGGAAGCACACTCAACTTACAACGGGGATGGAGCACATGGTTACAGAGGGGTATTGGAGGGAGACATTTCCTTGTTGGGGAAACCGGGAGGGGGAGAAGACATTACCTTAGACAGTGGGGATATCCATTTACAATGGAGGGGGGAGAAGAGGGTGGGGGAGGGGGGAGAAGAGGGGGGGGAGGGGGGGAGAAGAGGGGGGGAGGGGGGGGAGAGAGGGGGGGGGGGAGGGGGCAGATATTTTCTTACTAGAGAGAGAGAAATATAGGGAATAGACAGAGCAATGCGGGATGATAAGTTTCTTGTTATAGAGATACATATATAGAGAATATATACGGGTGTGTGTGTGTGTGTGTGGGTTGGGGGGGTTCGTTTCCTGGGTGTGTCGCCTAAACGGGAAGGGAAGGACAGTTAACTGAAGCGTCTGATTAACGGTCGGCGGGTACCGTCGGTCGGTCGGGCGGGCGGCCTGGTTTTCCTGGCCCGCGCGGCGTGGCACACACTAACGCAAGGCGCGGGCGCGTAACTTTCCGACCGCAAATTTTTGTTCGGGGTATTCATTGAACGTCCGAAAAGGGCGGGTCCCGGGGGTCCCGGCTCCCACCTTTGGCCGCGGAGATGTTGCTGAAGCGGATCTGTGCCGGTTTGTCGCGGTCCTGGTAAATACCCTTCGACTTGATGTTGGTTTGTTTGGACATGTTCACGTCGGGCATCGCCGCCGGGGCCAAAGCGGCTGCTGAGCGGGCGGATGGCGTCGGATTGGGACGAGACGAGGCCGCGGCTCCGGATCCGCGTCTCCAACGCTTTCAGGGAACCTTCTGGAAACAGCGGCGGAAGGAGAGAGCGCGCGGGGAGGGGGCGGGGCCTGGGTGGGGTCCTGCGGCCACCGTCTCCAACACCAGCGCTGACGTCAGCAGCTGCCCCAGCACATGCCGGAAAAATTCACAAAGATATTTTCTACTTTTTTTTGAAAAAAAAGGTGTTTTTGTTTCGAACCAGTACGTTTAAAAATAAACTCCCAGTGCCGTTATACATATATATTTATATGTTTATCTGCACATCTGTGCATATGTGTGCGCGCGCGTGTGCGTGTGTGTATATTGGGTCACAAAATACAAAATATGGTATGGAATAATAATAATAATTCTTGCAATTGATATAGCGGCTGATCACGTCTTCGAGGCGAACCAAAGTGCTTCACAGAATAAATATACTGTAAAGTAAATTGACTGTATATTTTGTGGGCGAAACGCGCACTTTATTATTACTTTTTTAAAGGGATTATTATCCCCGGAAAAGGGTGATTACTTACTGCTGGGACAGAGCACAGGCGTGTGGAACAAGGAAACTTGCCTAAGGTTTCACGCTGCCAGGAATCAAACCCAGCTTCTTATAATAATAATAATCCTTGCATTTGATATAGCGCTTTTCACGTCGGGAGGACGTCCCAAAGCGCTGCACAGAACACACTGTAAAGTGAATTGACTGTATATTTGTGGGCGAACGCGGCAGCCAATTGCGCACAGCAATGTCCCACAAACAGTCGTAGATTGAAAATGACCAATTTATTATTGTTTTTTTGGTTTTGGAGGGATTATTTTTCTTCTTGCTTGTGAGGCAAGTGCTCTAACCACTATAAGCTACCACTATATCTGTGAAGCACTTTGAGACGAGGTGATAAGGATTCACTGTAAAGTGTGTGTACAGTGTGTTTTGTGAGCGAACATGGTAACCCAATTGCACACCACAGTACCTCACAAACAGTCATGAAGTGGATGACCAATTTTTTTCTGGGTGCGGGGGAATGGACTGTTGGTCAGGAGGCTGGGAGAAACGGCCTTCTCATTTTGAATAGTGCCCTTGTAGATCTTTACCCTGGCACCCCCTTCCTCTCCTGCTCACACCCACCTACCTCAATTAGTTGGCTCCGGCCTCCTGCACATCTCGTCACCCCTGTCCTTCAGCCACTACACCCCAAGACTCTGGAACCCTGCCTCACACCACCATGCCCCCCACCCCCTTGTCCGTCTTCATATCACATCTGAAGATGGAACAACAACTTGCATTTACATAGCACCCTTCATACGGGGCAATGTCTCAGTTCTCGAGCTGAGCCCTAACCAGTGGCTTATAAAGATTCATCGTAACTTCCTGACTTTTGCATTCTATGCCGCTATTTATAAAGCCTCGTAACCCGTATGCTTTTCTTTTAAACATCTTTATCTACCTGTCCTGCCACCTTCAAAGATTTACTTATATGAAGCCCCAGGTCTCTCTGTTCCTTCACCCATTTAAGATTATACCATGATATTGCCTCTCTTCATTCTTCTTCACAAAATACATCACTTCACATTTCTCCGCAGTAAACTTCATCTGCCGCGTGTCTGCCCATTTTACCAGTCTGTCTTGCAGTCTGGTGCTATCCTCCTCACCGTTCACTACTGTTCCTAATGGGCGTTTCCTAATGGGAGACGGATGGTCTGATCTCAAATGCAGGAGTGTGGATGACGATGAGGATAATGAGAACCGTCTGTCCTCACCAACAGGGGAGGGGCGGGCGCTGTCCCTGTTCCTCACCAGTGGGGGAGCGCTGTCCCTGTTCCTCACCAGTGGGGGGCGCTGTCCCTGTTCCTCACCAGTGGGGAGCGCTGTCCCTGTTCCTCACCAGTGGGGGGCGCTGTCCCTGTTCCTCACCAGTGGGGGGCGCTGTCCCTGTTCCTCACCAGTGGGGGGCGCTGTCCCTGTTCCTCACCAGCGGGGGGCGCTGTCCCTGTTCCTCACCAGTGAGGGGCGCGGTCCCTGTTCCTCACCAGCGGGGGGCGCTGTCCCTGTTCCTCACCAGTGGGGGGGGGGGGGGTGTCACGTGGTACAGGGGAGGCGGCGGCTGTGGGCGGCCATCATGGCGGAGGGGGCAGGCGGGCGGCCGCTGGTCGGGCTACTGATCGGCATCGCTCAGGCCGCGTATTACAGCAACTCCGAGATCACAGAGCAGCTGCTGAGGAGAGAGCTGTACCCGGAGCTGCCGGAGGAGGATTTCAGGGCTCTGCTCGAGAAGATGAAGGGGATCCTGCGGGTAGGAGTGGGGCTCCGAGATGGCTGTGAGGAGGATGGATGGCCTGGTTTGGGGGCGGGGGGGGGGGGGGCTTTGCTGTTCAGGGTGTGTTCACCCCCCACTCACCCCCTCACACACACACACACACACTCACCCCCTCACACACACACACACTCACTCCCTCACACACACACACACACACACCCTCACACACACACCCCCCTCAGCCCCCCCTCTCACACACACACACACACACCCTCACCCCCCCACTCACCCCCTCACACACACACACACACCCTCACACCCCCACTCACCCCCTCACACACACACACACACCCTCACACCCCCACTCACCCCCTCACACACACACACACACCCTCACACCCCCACTCACCCCCTCACACACACACACACACCCTCACACCCCCACTCACCCCCTCACACACACACACACACCCTCACACCCCCTCACCCCCTCACACACACACACCCCCTCACCCCCTCACACACACACCCCCCTCACACCCCCTCACCCCCCTCATACCCCCCTCTCACACACACACACCCTCTCACACACCCCCTCACACACACACACCCTCACCCCCCCCTCAGCCCCCCTCACACACCCCCTCACACACACACACACACACCCTCACACCCCCCCTCACCCCCCCCTCAGCCCCCCTCACACACTCCCTCACACCCCCTTCACCCCCTCCTCACACACACACACACCCTCACACCCCCTCACATCCCTCACACCCTCACACCCCCTCACACACACACACACCCTCACACCCCCTCACACCCCCTCACACACTCCCTCACACCCCCTTCACCCCCTCCTCACACACACACACACCCTCCCCCCCTCACACCCCCTCACATCCCTCACACCCTCACACCCCCTCACACACACACACACACCCTCACACCCCCCCTCACCCCCCCCTCACCCCCCCTCACACACACACACACCCTCTCACACCCCCCCTCACCCCCCTCACACCCCCCGTCACCCCCTCACACCCCCTCACACACACACACACACCCTCACCCCCCCCTCACCCCCCCTCACACCCCCCCCTCACCCCCCCGCACACACACACACACCCTCACCCCCCCCCTCACCCCCCTCCACCACACCCTCACACACACACACACACCCTCACCCCCCCTCACACCCCTCTCACAACCCCCCCCACACACACACACACACCCTCACACCCCCCCTCACACCCCCTCACACACACCCCCCTCACACCCCCCTCTCACACCCCCTCACACACACACCCTCACACCCCTCTCACACCCCCCTCACCCCCCTCACACACACCCCCCTCACCCCCCCCTCACCCCCCCCTCACACCCCCTCACACCCCCCCTCACACACACACACCCCCTCACCCCCCCTCACACCCCCCCCCCTCACACACACATCCTCACCCCCCCTCACACCCCCCTCACACACACAGTGTCCAGAGGGGAGTCTGTACCCACAGTGTCCAGAGGGTTGTCTGCGCCCACTCCCCACAGTGTCCAGAGGGGTGTCTGCACCCACTCCCCACAGTGTCCAGAGGGGTGTCTGCGCCCACTCCCCACAGTGTCCAGAGGGGTGTCTGCGCCCACTCCCCACAGTGTCCAGAGGGGTGTCTTGTCACCCACAGTGTCCAGAGGGGTGTCTGCACTCACCACCCACCAAGTAACTCCTTGCCCTTTTCTATCCCAAAATACTTGTAGAGCATTTAAAGGAATTTGTTTTAAAAAGGAAGCAGAAAGTGACTCACTACAGGATCACCTCCTGCAGTACGGAGCCTTCGCACACAACAACAGGCGATTGATGGAAATTACCCCCCATCCCGAAGTCATATTGAAGTCTGTGCATCGTACTGCGAATAGTTTTACATTTTATATTCAGAAGAAAAGCTCTCACCCCCATTTTTCACATGTTTTCTGTATCCTGACTCTGAGCCTATGCTGTCAGTTGCTTTAGTGGAACACGAATGCCAATAATAATAATCGTTGCATTTGATACAGCCCTTAATCACATCTTCGAGACATTTCAAAGTGCTCCACAGAATATACTGTAAAGTTAATCCACTGTATGTTTTGTGGGCAAAATGTGGCAGCCACAGTAGTTGTTAGTTGATCTGCAAGATTTTAATTGCACCCTCGGACATCTACTGTTAGTTTATTTTTATAATGGAATCCTTTTGTGCTTACTAAGGTGAGGGATGCCAGTGGTGAGGAACGGAATATATCTCTACTTTGCTCACCCATTCTGTGCCATTGGGTCGGGTTTGTACAACACAGCCCGGAGAAACTTGTGTTTTTATAGCTCGTTATATCGAAACGTTTCAAAACGCTTAATGAGTGACTGCTTTCGAGGCAAATGGGGCAGCCACAAGTTCCCTGAGCCAGCCATGTGGTGAATGATCAGTTCTTTAGGAGAAATCCTCTTCTCGTTTTGAATAGCACTTTGGGATCTTTAACTTTTAAGGAGCCTTGGCCTAATAATAAATCACATCTCTTACATTTGATGTAATGGTATTTTATGTGGGTGCTTCGCCCACAAAATATCCAATCACTACACTTTACAGTATATTCTGTGAAGCACTTTGAGATGTCTCGAAGTCGTGCTAAGGCGCTATATCAAATGCAAGGATAATTATGTTAAGGTGTCAGTCTGGCCCAGTTGGAGCACTTTCATCTCAGTCAGATGTGGGTTTGAGCTACTCGTTGGGACTTGGAACTCCTACAGTCCTGGATTTCTCCCAGTGTCCTGACCAGCAATCCCCTGAATAAAATTGGTCACTCACACTTTGACTGTGGAATGTTGCTGTGTACAAATTGGATGCCACGTTCGCCTACGAAATACACACGATTGCACCACTTTACAGTATATCCTGTGAAATGCTTTGAGATATCTTGATGATGTGATAAGGCTGTATGAAATCCAAGGATTTTTACTATTATTTTATAGCAACTGTATGTCAGAAGGATGTCTTAAAGTGCTCCACAGGAATTACTATAGTATAGTCACTGTGTATTTGTGGGTGAATTTGGCAACCAATTTGAACATAGCAACGTCCCACAAAGAGCTATCTGGGGGATTATTAACTTGGACATCAGGAGAAACTCCCATCTCTTTTTTGAATAGTGCCATGGGATCTTTAATGTACAAGTCTGCACATTAAAACTTGCTCAGATTCACCCTCGAGCAAGGCCGAGAGATGGTGGTGGTGGGTGGTCTCGAAGCAATATCAAGGAGTGGGGCATGTGAGAAGTGGATATGTGATGTGCGGAGAGATAAAGATATGGAGCCACAGGAGTAATGTCAACATTGAGTCTATCTTCTAAATTGGGAAACAATATCAGCGACGTTTTACTTTATACAATTATCAAAGTATAATATCCCAAGATAGTAAAATGCAAGTAATGGATAGTTATCTTTAATCTGGACATCTCTGTGACCTTACTTGTGCCACACTGTCCTGTATGAGGCTACAGAATTATGCAATTGGCTTTTGCATTTCACTCACAAAATAGTCATTTTACTTTACAGTATATTCTGTGAAGCTCTTTGAAATGTCTCAACGACGTGATAAGGCGCTATATCAAAGGCAAGTATTATTATTACAGATGCTCAAAAAGTACTTTACACCACTGCTCTAGTATTTTAAGATTTGCCAGCATTGTGTGTGTGTGAATTGGAAATTACGTGTGGAGGCAAAACAATGAAATTGCAATTAGCTTTTTGCTTTTAAGTGAAATAAGAATGAAGATTTTAAATGCCACAACATTAAGACATCAGTATAATGGAGTGCTTCCGTTAGCATACACCGCATCTTGGCCAAAGTAAAGCTAATGTGCTCACGCATAGAGGTGTTACAAATTTCTCAAGAAGAGTCATTTTCAAAAAGCATTCATCTCGTTCACCTGGAAGGCTTTGCTCGTGTGACGAAACTCTGGTTCCAGTTTCAGAATTACACAGTTTGACTGTAGAGTGAGTGGGCTGTAGTGTTTGCCCACCAGATTTTCATAAGTGCTCCCTCCTCCAGTCCTCATTTTTTCACTCACCAAACTATTTCCAGACCACATGCTTTAATATCATCCTTACAACAAGTGAATCGGGTTCACGTTCACCCTTCATTCAAAATCAAATTAATCGTCTGCTTGTCCATCTCATTGCAGTTTGTATGTGGGAAGTTGCTCTCGCCGATTAGCTGGCACTTTTGTCTCCAGAACAACATTCACTTCATTCCTAGCGAATCTTATCTTGTAAAGCATTTCGATCGTTTAATTTAAAAGACAAACTCTAAATAAATGCAAGTTCTATAAAGCATGCAGTACACAGTACTGTCACGAGAGGCCCTCAGAACACTATCCAAATGATTTGTCCACCATTCAGTGATAATAAAAATCATTGCATTTGATATAGCGCTTTTCACATCTTCTAGACGTCTCAAAGCGCTTCACAGAATATGCTATAAAGTGAATTGACTGTATATTTGTGGTAGTAATAATAGTAATAATAATCATCCTTGGATTTGATATAGCATCTTTCATGTCAGGAGGACGTCCCAAAGAACTTCATAGGCTATACTGTGAAGTCACTGTGTATTTGTGGGTGAACGTGGCAGCCAATTTGCACACAGCAATGTCTCACCATCAGCCATGAAGTAAGTCACTAATTTTATTTGAGGACTGTTGGCCCGGAATTTGCAGAACTAAGCATCACATATAGCCACAATAATGTTCTTTTTTGGCTACTGATAAGGAAATCAAATATAATTAGATGCTATTTCTCAAACTCATAAGATGTACTTCTAAATGTTATGGGACTTTTACAATAGTCTGCGCACAGAGTATTGGTCACACATTTAGCAATCATTTCATGCCTTGAACTCAGAATTAAATCATTTTAAAGTTTTTTAAATTGCTTTGTGGAATACATAAGGACTTCAGACTCGTGAAAGAGCCATGGTAGAAGATAGCTTACCTAAGCACATTGATTATTTGTACACAAGTCCAATATTAATTCAGATCACTGGGCATGTGATAATGGTGAACAGATGCAGTCTCAGGTATCCTGGGAAAACATCCAAAACAAAGAGTTGGAACTGAAACTGATAGTGCTGCAACACTTGAGTAGCACACAGTAGCATACAGTGTGATTACGTGAGAAGATCAGACGCTCCAAGTCTTTTATTTATAACCCAATAAAGCATTAATGTTTTTATTCTTTTGTTTACAACTTCCCAAATTCTCTTCCAGATGTTCCCTGATTTTATATCTTCCCAAGGCACTTGGCACCTGAGCTGGGGCTGGGAGCCAAGGGGTGTGGGGAGGGGAAACGTGACTGAAGGTGCTGTCAAAGAGGAAGATATAGAGAGAGACGTTGAAAAAGGTGAAAGATGGAGCGAGTCGGAGGAACTCCAGGATGGAGTTCTAGAGAGCATAGCTTATAGCCTGATCGCATAGGTACATACACATATTTTGAAATAGTTTTGAAAAGATTTCTAGTTGTCGCTAACAAGGACCAGGATTTGATTACCTGGCACTTTAGTGTTTTTGTTTTCTCTTCATTTCTTCCATTAAGAATAACAAATTTCACTTTCGTAGAAGGAAACATCACGCTAAAAGCCAGGTTGTGGATGTGGCATAATGAGCACAGAGGGAGCAGGAAGATCATGTTGGAAGTTTATTTGAAGCTTGGGTGGAACAATAGAGAAAAGGTTAGAATAGAGGTAAGAGAGAGAAAGATAATTAAAGTTAACTGTGCTTTCGGTCGTCTCTCAGCTACAATCAGCAAGCAAGCTCAGGATGACCTCCCGAATTGAAAGGTGCTTATATAAGTGCTATATATTTGAATTATATTGTATCTCTTCAATAATGGCAAGTTTGTGTCAAATAAGCTGCACAACCCAACAGTTCTCCTTCATGGTTCCGAGCTCCAGGACATTCAGTGGTAAGAGGTCCCTTAGATAAGTGACTGGATGACACCTTATTGCACTTATGGTGTTGAAATGCCAGGATAGTGAAGAGAACATTTCACAAAATGCACATCATCCGAAATTGGCATAATTTCCTGTAGAGAAGGGAGAGTTGCTCCCAGTGTCCTGGCCACAATTCCCCAAATAAAATTGGTGTTCATTTCATGGCTGTTTGTGAGACATTGCTGTGCGCAATTGTGCTGCCGCATTTGCCTAGGAATATGCATTTACTCCATTTCACAGTTAATCCTGTGAAGCTGTTTGAGATGTCCTTCCGTCCTGCTCGGGTCCAAATCCCTGACCGTCCAGCACTTTGGGATGACCTCCTGACGTGAAAGACGTTACATAAATATAATTTTGTATTGTATAAGGAGCGATACCAAATATGAGGATTATTGTTATTGTTAACATTCCATTCCTGCATCCACAAAGCACAGTTTGTATACATATGACACGCTCGTTCCTTTCACAGTCCAGTTTTGCATGGACCATTCACTCTGAAAACTTTTATCACGATTAGATTCGCCCATATCCTGACGTAAATTTTCAGGAGTGCTTATTTACATTGCGCAGGGCCAAAAAAAAATGCCTCATTCACTTCTAAATTCCCCTGCCAGATGCTATGAACTGTGTGTCCAGAGAACAATGTTAGGAACAATATATTGTTGTTTCATTTTTTCAACAATTTGACCTGAGGGGGTTGGGGGTATGTGTGGCTCGTATGTGATCTAATATATAATCATAGATTTTCAGAATTCTGAAGAAAATCAACCTTAGGGTGCACATATAAACTGCTGTGGGATTGCGTTATGCACTGAGGTTTCCTGTTAAATATGGACTTTCTCGGGTTTCTAAACTTAAAATTTCTCACAGGCCTTTTAAGATGGCAAACGTATGCAAAGGCTGAGCTATAGAAGTGAGGAATTTCCCAGGCTGGCTCACTGGTCTCTGGTGAGTCAACGCATCTCAGCCAAGGTAGCACTATCGATCATGGTGCCTCTCGATTAGAGAGGAACATAAGTCAGGTTTCCTGTTTCTGATCACAATTCAACAGATGAATATCAGCCACTTAGGTGCATTACTGGAGGGTCCCCATTATTCAAGAAATAATATCCAGGTAGAAAGAAAATGAGTCAAATAGTGTCCAGTGGATGGGGAGGGTGAGAGAGCTCTTTGAGATGTCTAGATCTACATCAAATGCAAAAATGACTATAAGTGAATTTAGAAGTCCCGATAAAATTGATAAAACTTGTCACCTCCTGACAGCTATCAAGTTCTGTAGCTTGTCTGCTTCTCTTCCAGTACAGGGCTCTTTCATGGTACTCCGCACCCTCCATTCCATCAGGGGATTAGCTGTAGCCCTGCTCTGAAATTCTCTCCCTAAAACCTTTCACCTCTCTCCCTGCTTTCGTAGGCCCACTTTAAAAACCTCTCTCTTTGATTGGACCTGTGGTCATATCCCGCTTGGTCTCTGTAAAAGCACTCCAGGAAGCTACTCTGTGTGTGGGCACTATATAATAATACTAATAATAATAATCCTTGCATTTGATATAGCGCTTTTCATGTCTGGAGGACGTCCCAAAGCGCTTCACAGAACACACTGAAAAGTGAATTGACTGTATATTTGTGGGCGAACGCGGCAGCCAATTGCGCATAGCACTGTCCCACACGTGGATTGAAGTGACCAATTTTTTTTGTTGAGGGATTATTATTAGGGGTGTGGAGTAAGAAAACTTGCCCAAAGTTTCGTCCTGCTGAGAATCAAACCCAGGTCTCTCGCCTGCGAGGTGAGAACTCTAGCCACTGAGCTACAAGACTCCTTGTTCTTGTTGTAAAGCACTTTTAAACATTCTGCATTAAAGAAGCTATTTATGTATGTGTTCGTTGTTGTTGCTGTATTTTGGACTCACACAGGGAATGTGTTCACGCAAATGTGTATTTTGGGTTAGTCAAAGGCCTTGACTCACAAAGAAACCAATCACCATTTCTGAAGAGCCAACAAACTCTACTGAGAGATCCAAATATGCAATATGGTATGGTTTGATAAGGAGTGGATACTCCCAGCATGGATGCCCCTCCTTACTAGAGAGTTTAGCACAGATAATTCCCAGAGGGTTTAGCACTGGGACGAGCTAAAACAAACCACGACAAACTTTCGGCTGTTTGTCCAGCTGGGATCACCCTACCTGTTGGGGCTTTGGCTTGCAGGGTTAATGGATGCTGAGTGGGAATAATCCCAGCTCCCAGTGACTGGGCTGCCTTCCAAGTTCAGCAAACAGAATGTCTGTTGGCAGTGCCTGATGCCCTACTGACCTGCCCAGCTCGGGAATTGGACTCTGAACCAGACAACTTAATAGACTTAATAGAAGTTTTCACAATTATGAGCGGATTCGATTGGGTGAACAAGGAGAAATTATTTCCATTGGCGGGTGGGTCAGTAACCCAAGGACACCGATTTAAAATAGTCTTTAAAAAATACAGAGGGGAGGTGAGGATAAATTGTTTCATACAGCGAGTTGTTCAGATCTGGAATGCATTGCCTGAAAGGGTGGTGGTAGCCGATTCGATAACAACCTTTAAGAGACAGGTAGATAATTATTTGGGGAGGACAAGTTTGTAGGGCTTTAGGGAGAGAGCAGGGCAGTGGGATTGAATCGGTTAGCTCTTTTCCAAGAGCCGGCATAGACACGATGGGCCAAATGGCCTCCTTCTGTGCTGTATAATTCTATGATTCAATGAACTGAGAGGATCGAATCAAGTCTTAATGTTCCTTTGTCAGGCATGTTATTATAGAGGTAATGATGTAGACTCCATTTCTCGAGCACAGACTTTCACAGAGGTGGGGAATTTCCTGTGTCATAATTCATGGGCTGCTTAAAGCAGATGAGGGTGGGGACAGATTGATGGAAAGGTGGGTTTTGGGGTAACAGTTGAGTCCACTCATATAGAAACCCGTGGGAAGAAATTTTAGCATTTACCTTTTTAAGTTATGTGGAACTGTGAATTTCCAGACAGAGAGAGAGCAGAGACTAGTGCTTCCCCACATCCTGTGCAAGAGACTAAAAAGTGGGTCTTGCTGTGGGTGTTGAGATGATCTAAACTGTTAACTGGTAATCGCACTGTATTGCTTGTTACATTTTCTGCATTCTTGTAGTGTTTTTACTTTGAGTTAGTAGACTTAAACTAGGCCACGTGTACATTTTTTTTGAAGTAAATGGGTGGACAAGAAATTCCCTAGATTACAGGAGGATTGATGCTTTTTAATATGACCCATATCGGTTTGGTCATGTAGTTTGGTTTAGCATTTCTGTGTAAGTTCTTCCGAACTTTATAGGACTTATAGAAAGGCCACAAAGGTGCAATCTGACCATATTCCTGTGAAATACTAAACCTGGCTGTATGGATATTCCAAAATGTTGTGTTCTAGCACTTCCCAACTTGCCCACAAAATATAGTTAATCCACTTCACAGTATATTCTGTGAAGCACTTTGAGATGTCTCAAACACCTGTCTATTTCCCCACTTCTCTTATCAGCCTTCCATCTCATTCATCTCATTCCATCTGTAGTTTGGAAGATTACATCTTAAACCTCTTACCCATCAAGGTGAAGCTTAGCTAATGTCATGTGGCATCCTGTAGCTTAGTGGTTAGTGTACTCACCTCACAACGTTTGTAATCCTCACACAAGTGAGAGGACCTAGGTTCGATTCCTGGGCAAGTTTCCTTACTCCACACGCCTCTGTTTACCTAGCAGTAAGTAAGAACCTGGTTGTTAGTCAATTGGCGGATTGGTTTTCCGGGGGCAATAATCCCTTTCTTAAAAAAAATAACAATTTGGTCACTCAATCTACCACTGTTTGTGGGACACTGCTGTGCGGAATCGACTGCCGCGTTTTGCCCACAAAATATACAGTCAATTCACTTTATAGTTTACTCTGTGAAGCACTTTGAGACGTCTAGAAGAGGTGATGAGGCGCAAATATCAAATGCAAGGATTATTAACTCTTTGACCTCCTCCCCTACTCCTCTACTGCCCCTTCCCCTCAGATAACTTGGGCTTACTGTGAATTCACTGTTGAATGGACGTGTATGATCACCTCCCCCTCTCTCCTACTCGGCTTTTGACCCCCATATTTGTAAAGCACTCTTGAGATGTTTAACATATGCAAAGGGAACTAGATAAACCATGTTGTTGTAAATTCGCTGCTGGTGGTTTTGGGTGGGGATCTGGGACGGTGAGTGGTGCTATATAAATGCAAGTTGTTGTGAATTTTGGTTCTGCAGTAAATTCTGGAGCCTAAATGGATCCTTTACTTGAGTTCTGGATGACCTTGCGGAAAAAGTTCAAATCTGTTTGCAAAGAGTAGAATGTTTAGAGAAGTGCTAAAGTGTTGTCTCCAAGGTTGTTAGAACATTAGTGGTGGATTGTGCAATATTTTGTCAAAATCATGAAGAGATTGCTTTATACTTCACAGAAAGAGTCACAGCAGTTTATAGCATGGAGGGAGTACATTTGGCCCAACGTATCTGTGCTGGTGCTAGCTTCGCCATCTGAGCTATCAGCTCCAATCCAATCCTTTTGCTCCTCCCTGAACCCTTTAATATTAAATATCGATATTGTCAGCCTGGTGCAGTGGTTGCATTCTAGTAGATTTTAGTAGATCTTTTAATCCCACTCCCCTGCACTTTGCCCTCTTAAAATTTCTACTGCTCAGCTATTAAACATTCGACAGCTTGAGGCAATGCTCTGATG